CCGAGCGTTGACCAGCACTGACCGTTGGAGCTCGTCAGTGTGAGAAAAAAATGAAGCGGCGAAGTCATCCCCGGGTCGTCGCTGGCAAATAATGTGCAGAGGCGTCAATCCCTCCACATCGGCTAGATTTGGATCGGCGCCTCTTGTCAGTAGGTCCTCCGCCGTATATTCTTGACAATACTCCACAGCCAAGTGCAGCGGTGTCTGGCCCATCAGCTTGTCCACGACATCGACCTGCACGGGCCGATTGACTTTATTGCAAAGATAGTTTAACACCTGCATTAACGAGCCATCATCCTTACTGTCTCTTTTGCAAATAACGTGCAAAAGTGTCGATCCATCCTCGTTAGCCAAGTTAGGATCGGCGCCTTTTTCCAGCAGAAATTCGGTCACCTCATATTGGTCATAACGCGCGAATTGATATAGCGAGTGCAATGGCGTGTTACCAAACGTGTCCCGGGCATTGACTTGTACAAGTTGATGTTTTTCTTCGTTGATCTCGAAAAACTGTTCCAGCAAGCCATCATCGTTTTTGTCTCTCTTGCAAATAACGTGCAGAGGAGTCAAACCTTTGGCATCAGCTAGATTGGGATCGGCGCCGTTTCTCAGCAGCAACTCGACCACTTCTTTGTGACCGAAGTAGATAGCCAAGTGTAGCGGCGAATCATTGGTTTTTTGCACGAGGCGATTGAAATCCTTGTCGAGCTCGAGAAATTTCTCGACCACGTCTTTATAGCCAAGCGCACAGGCCACATGGAAATTTGTTAGGCCGTCGTCGATGGTGTAATTTTCATCAAATCTATTGTATATTCTGAAAAATTGTTTCATCACGTAGTCGTCGTCCTTGAGTCTAGCCGCAAGATGTACTAAAGTGGTGCGACGCAGAAATGGCTTGCCGTCTTCATCAACTTCGAGCTCGCCTTTGTAACCGGAGCTAGCCACCATCTTGATGAATCGTCCTTGATTATTGAATTCATATTCGTCACTTACAGCCTCCACGAGGAGCCAATCGATTTCTTCGGGTCGGAAAAACTCTCGTAGATCTTGAGGTAGTTGTGCCCATTCTCTGATTAAGGGATAAAGTTTATGAAGTAATTTACGACGCTCTTCTTCGACCTCCCAATCCATCTCTTTACGCATAGATTTCAATATTTCCCAGTAGGTTGAGAGCCCGAATTCGCGGCGCGTAAGGCATACCCACTGCGTATTCATTGTTCTTTACAATCACACAAACACAATTGCTTGAAATTCAAAATTTTTATCCTACGACACGACAATCACTAAATGCAGTCGTTGTGATCTTTGTAGCTGCATACACTGCGGCGTCGTAACTATAATACTGATGACCACTACACAATTGAGGTTAAACGGTGCGTGCGAGCTGCTGTGCGTTGTTGACTTTTTTCGTCGCGAGAATCACTTTCTGCAGTATAGACGCGATCAGTTCCTCTGTTTACACTGCGGCGTCTAAACGCGTACTGACTTAACTTTACAATGGAAGGTAAGAGTGTGCGCGAGCTACTGTTAGAGTTATGTACGTGCTCGACTGACTTAAAGAATCCTGCACGAACGCGCACAGAGCGAGAGAAACAGAGCTACTCGACGCAAAATACACCATCAAAATAGACGTTGCAAAGGCACGAGCGCGATAAGCGCCGATTCTGCGAACAGTAATATAAAATCAGGCGGGCTAATACTGCCGCCGCTGAGACCGAGGCGAGCGAGCAGATATCACTCGACGTTACTGCCGAACGTCGACCAATCATAATATGCGCTAATACGACTATACGTATAAAAACCTACGATTTTCGCGTTTGCTCAGTTTTAAAAGTATTAGTTACTCACACTCAGCTCGACATAAGAAGTTCCACGTGAAAAAGTTGAAAAGTATTGTAGAGATGATCCAACAGTAACATAAAATGTTGTAGTCCACTGCATAAAGCCGGCGTAATATCGGCGATGATTGACAATTCGATGCGGCCTGTAGCTGTCGATACGGGTACATAATATGGATCTAAAGTGCAAGCAACCACACGATCGGAATAGATATACGTTCTACGATCCCGCAATAGATCGTGCTGCGTTTATTGCTATGTTCTTCGCATATCGTAACGATCATGAGCCAACGATTTCGCGCACAGACACACACAGACACATGCTACGGTTAATATATGAAAAATGTTGCGGGCGAGATGTTTTTCGCCGCTCGATCGTTGAGAGAGGCTTAAGTGGCCCCGATGCATGCGTATATTACACGAGAATTAGCTCGTTGATCGCTTCCGAGAATAATATAATATAATCTTTGCAGTCCGTAAAGCAAAAATATTGATGATGATGATGATGTAGATGATGATTTCGGCGAGCGATGATGAAATTTTCGACGATGATTGGTGCAAATGTATCATATTTCATGTAACGTAATGTTTGCGGAGGACAATAAAACCTCGAGATTTGGATACTCGTATCGAGTTGGTGTGAAAGTACGTGATCTGTACAAATTAGGATACGCCCGGGCGAAAAAAAGCCGACACATTCCGCGGCACAACCGATTAAGATACACAACCAAGTCGAGTATACAGGTCGGAAACAATGAGCGCGAGCCATCGAAAGTCGAACTGTATCATAGCAGAGATCCGTCGTACGCGGGGGGGGGGGGGGGGGGNGGGGGATAAATTTTGCACGATTGCATAGCAGACAGCCCCGCACGCATCGGCACGCGTGGAATCCTTCACGGTGCGCTCCGCTCGCGATATTATTGCGAGTATTATTATAAGCGGCGGAGAATCCGTGTAGTGCGCGGGCTCCATTAAAGAAGCGCGTTTATAACGTATAAAATGCGAATCGCCTCGAGCCTATATCACAGTGTGTGTACGAGACGAGGAAAGTAAAAAAGTACTCGACACAAACATACACACTTGCCGAGATTTATCAGCGCCGACAGAAATGTGTCTGCGAGTGTGTGCGCCGGCGAGAGCATATCAATTTTAACCCGAGCTATATACACCGCACACTATCTCCGTTGCACTTTATAACGTTATATATATGTTCGAGCATTATTGTATATATACAGGCATTTATGCTGAAAAAGCTACCGCAAACAAGCGCGCGAGCTGCGCCCCATGAGATTCACATAACCCGCAGAAAAATCGGAATCGTTCGCCCGAGCGAGCGTTATTATTATATTCTTTTTTTTCTCTCTCGCACACCTCTTTTCGCCCTCTTTTTTTTCGTCGTCGATCGAGACGTTAAAAAGATTGAATTTCATCGCTTTGCCTCTCGCTGCGCCTGAATCATCACGTGTTCGCGATGATCAAATTCGTCGATCGCAACTCGTATATAGCTCGAGGGTCGTTGCACTTGGAGGTTTCTTTTCCGCGTAGCGATAGGAGCCGTCTTGTAGTGGCGCATCGCGTCGGTGCATTATACAGACACGATCGCGTTAAAGAAGAAGAAGAAGGAGGAGAAAAAAAGAATTAACCCTGGAGGCATTTCTACGGCTTTGCATGCAGCATTCGATATCGTGTCCGCGCGCCTAAACAAATCGCCACCATACGTATACCACTGCTAAAACCTTTCCCTTTCGCCGATTTCGCGCGCGATCTTGGGGCACCGGTGCATTCATATATACCTATATGTGTACGTTTATGTACCGGCACCGACTCGCGAAAAAAGATAAGCGCGGCACAGCTCGCGAATAGATAAGAAGACGCGATAGGACCCGCAGTCGTTGTTTGTTTTTTTTTGTCTTTCGCTTTTTTTTTTTTTTTTATTCACCGAGCACNTTTTTTTTGATTCACCGAGCACTGGTGGCGGTGTTGTAACGGTTTTAAATCCTGCAAGCGCGTCTGCATTTTCTTTCTCTCTTTCTTTTGCTGAACATTTTGTACGTCTCTCGAGGCTGAGCGTCAGCGTCGTCGTCGTACTGCTGCAGTTTCACATATTTCGAGAGAAACAGTTGACGCCGCGCGATGCAATTGCCAACGAAAGGAGAAAATAAATATAATTATTGTCGTTGTCGTCGTCGCGGCCGAGTTTCTCTCGCGTGCACGCTCAGAAGCGAGCAGCGAAATAACACCGAGCTTATAAATTGTCGAATGCGTCGCCGCTGCCGCCTGGAGTCTCGTGTTGGGACTTTTTTTTACTCGGGGCCCCACCTGAGAGATTCAATTAATCACGATTATTTACGTATACGAGCTGGCGCACGCGTGTATAAATGCAACTCGAGATGTGGTGTTGGCATAATTGCGTTTGTGCGCAGAAAAAAGGAAAAGGATTCGTTTTCTGAAAATTCGACTTCTGTCGTTGATAAATCTCGGATTATTAAATGCAACAGGTCGTTTTGTGCTTCAAAGACAAATCGCTGCAGCGTCTTCGGTTCATTAATTAACTTTCCCACTTACAAATGAATACACGTCGATAAACGCGCACCGCTCATTACCGCGCCGAATTCCGCCTTTTATATAGGAATTGCGCGCGTCTCGAGTATATTACACGCATTATCGCTGCAACACACACGACTCGCCTTATCTCTCTCTCTCGAGAGAGAAATGTTTTTCAGTCTTTCTTACGGAGTCGAGGCTAAATAGTTTACATACAGCTGCCACGGAAGCTGCGCTCTGCCTCCCGAGACAAATTAAAAGAGAGAGAGAGAGAGAAAAACGCACTGGCGCCGTACTTATGATACCGATAACGCAGTGACGCATTTCTCATTTCCATATGTACACGCGTGCGGAAAAATGTACAATATTATCAACCCCGCGAATCGCGGCCGCGACAAATGCGTGGCGCGTCTCGGTGCCGATAATGAAAACTAGTTTGCCGCTGCCGCGCGCGGTGGGTAATCCGTTTTCGCCGCACAAGTGCTGATACATCGCGATGCAATTTTGACGAACGATCGTCGAGCGTAAAATTAATCGTCGCGTGTACATTTTTTTCATTCGCGTTTATCGTTCGTTAGTTTGGTGGTTCCAAAACAGAAATAATATTGAAACAGACTGATCTTTTTCTATTTATACAATTCAATTGTTTATTTCTCCTCGATCGACAGTGAATCTACGTGTCTAGTGGGTAACAAATTACAAAAATTTGGTATGATATTAACATACATTTGTACATTCAGTGGTTTTGATGCATTTACCTCGAAGATGCGATTCACATCATATTAGTAGAACACATCAATATTCTTTTTCTTTATATAAGAGAATCCATTGATAAAACTTTTTAATCGTTATTCAAATGATCTAATCGTAAAGTCATACAAATATTAAATAAAACGATATACTTCTTTTGCATTGCTTGTTTTTATGAATATTTATACTATAATACACCCTCTTATTGTTACATACTTTAATAATTGAAAAACAGTATTTTCACCATGCTCATACGCAATCACACATTTGAATTTAGGAATTTTTTATGACGTGCTATTTAATCTACCATGTAAAATGATATACATGATATCATTCATAAAGATGTGTGTGATTAAAATATAACATATTTACACAAAGCTTAAAAACTGCCAATATATCTCAGAAGTTTAATAATTACAATTTCAAAAATTTAAACAACTTGGAATGGCATAGAACACTGCAATATTTTAGTTAGATTCTGTTCCCAAACTGCTTTTTTGACTTTTGTATTAATTGAAGAAAAAAATGATTTAAGGTCACTTCAGACACAAAAACTGATCAAGTTTATAGATAGTACTCCTAAAGTCTTTACTATTTACAAAAAGCAAATGTTTTTAAACTATTAATTGCTTTTGGTTTTAAATTATATAGTCTGTGATGATTCGCAGTAGAAGAATGAATATCATTGTTTCATCAATTCACCATCGTGAAATTAATTATTTTGCTACAATCTTCAAAAATCTAACTTAATATCTAAAGTAATAATATTATATTTACATGGTTTCACTTCACATTTTACAATAAATAAATGATATTGTTTAACTAAAGCTGTTCAGTTTGCCAGAGGATCATGACTGTTACTTATTTCATCTAAGATAATTTGTTGGATTCGACTTCGAACTTTAAGTTTCTGAATTGTATTAAAGTGTTTAACATGAGGTACTAAGCTCATGAAGAAGTGATAGTCATCACTTATCATATTTTCACTATTATTCACCGGCTGTTGCATTTGAGGATGCTCCAGTCTATTAATATGCACCTGCTGCTGTAAACCAGCCATGTTATTTTGTTGTCTTAGAGCATCAATATTGACTCTTTGTTGTATTCCAGAACTTGGTTGAATGTTATTAATATGTTGCATTACTGAATGTCTATCTGGCATTTCATTCAAACTATTATTAATATGCGCAGATGGTGATTGATTCATCATACCATTGAGTTGTTGATTCTGATGTTCCATAGACATTCTTTGAGATAGCGCAGATGCTGTTGTTGTGGTCATATTTGGCATATGTACCAAATTTTCTATCGAAGTTATGGTAGAATCTAGTGGATTATGATCTTGCAAACTTTCATCTTGCAAACCATCCTGTTCATCGTCTTGTTCTACCTCTTGTTCTTCCTCCTCTTCTTCTACTTCTTGTTCTTCTTGTTCTTCTTCTGGAATTTGTTGTTGCTCCATGTCTTCTTGAGAATCATCTACTTGTTCAGCGTTAGATTCAGCAAGTACACGATTTTCATACTTTACTAATTGTCTCATCTCTGAGTCTAAGCCATATTGATCCATAGCTTCGGAATCATCCATTATTTCCCTCTTACGGGGTAAACTATTTTGCCATTCATTGGTTAAGTCTTCCTCATCTGCACTAAGAATTTCTAACTCTTGATCACCATCTGTTCTACGCATAGACACAAACATCTGACTTTTCATGAACTTCATTTTCTTGTAATAAGGCCACGGAGACTTAGGTGATGCTGGGTCTGTCATTTCTTTTTTCAATTCGCGTCTGTAATGATCCTTCATGCTCTTCCATCTTCTTTTGACATTTTCCGCTAAATTAAAACAATAATTTGTCATTAGTACAAATATAATTATAAAAATAGCAACAGTAATTTAAGTATAAATATCAATCGTCTCAAAAAAAAATTATGACGCAGGGTTAATGAAAAAATTTAAGCAGACGTTAGTATTAACTTTTATCTAACGCTGTTTTTCTTAAGTATGTTATTTATATAGTTTCAACATTAACTTGTAAATGTGACGTAAGAATCTTGCTTTTACGAGCGTGAACGAGAGTTTACATTGCAAATCGGTTGGGCAACATAGGTGAAATATGTCGCGAATGTTAGAAATGTTCACACTTTATACTCTTTTTAACGAAGTTTTCTTCTTCAGTTAAAAAAGAAAACAAAAGTAACTTGATTAACTTACGAGTAGAGTCGAGAATATTGGCAATTTCGTCCCAGAGTGGCGCAGTGAGGAGATTCGAGTGGTGCTGATCGTGGGTCCTCATCCACAGGGCTTTCCTCGCTCTGATTTCGTCAATGAGTATCTCGTTTTCGAGAAGCACGTTGGCAACTCGGGGCCTCTTGGTCGGTGGCTGGGGTGGTGTGGCCTGCTGCTCGTTGCCATTGCCGTTGTTGACGAACGAGCCATTGTTGTTGACAGGCTTCCTGCGCGTGTACTTGCGCTTTTTGTAACCCAAGTTGATCCGGGGTGTCTTGGAGCGCGTTGTCACGCTCTGGCCGCTGTTGTTTTCGCTGCCCTCGGGAAGCAGTCCCTTCTCCGCCAGAGCGGCCAGTCTCAGCAGCTCGTCCTGATGGGGATCAGCAGCGGCACCGGCAGCAGCACCACCACTGGCGGCGATCGACGTCTCGCCATTCGTGGCTTGGTACTGCAGCTGCTGCGAGCTGTCGGCACCGGAGTTGTTTCGACTGCTGCTGCTGTTGTTGTTGTTGTTCGAGCTGCTGCTAGGCTGCATGTTGTCCGGCGAGTAGCGAGCTGGTCTGCGACGCAGACGCGCCTCCGAAACTGGCGTTGTACTGTTTGACATTTCGATGATGTTTTTTTATTTAAAAGAGAAAGAAATAGTGAACTTTCTCTCGGCACGATCTAACACTTGAGAACGACGAACAAAAACATGGACGTAGCTTGAAGGTTAGAAAACAAACTCGACTCGGCAATTAACACGAGGAAAAATTTTGCGTACCGCGCGGTAACAACGGAGCGACGAGGGAAGATACGATAGTAGTCTGCTGCCCACTCTCTTTTACACTTCTGTATAACATATATTACGGATATATCGGAGTAACTTTATGCGTGTTGTTATGTAGCGCGCGGAGTTGCAACGACACACACACACACGCGCACGCACACACGAAACGATGCAGTTAGCTGCAACTGCACAGTCCGCAATGCGGCGATGATGGTACGTATGGCGTTGGCTACTGCGTGTCGCGGACGCCGACGCTATACGGAGACTGCTTGCTTCGGAGCGCGCGTGTATGCTGCGCCGCTGCTCCGAGTCTCCGCTCGTGGCGCTGCCTGTGTTATTTTTACAGCTGCCGGAGTTGGAGGCAATGCCGAATGCGATTGTACATGTACGACAACGTACTATGAAATGTCGTGTGTGTTTGTACGTAGGCATAGGTATACGGGTATACGGGACATCGATGGGGCTTCGGAAAAGTCGCTCCGATTTACGTACGTGTGCGCGCGTGTGGTGTTCTTACGTAACGATATTCGCCGCGCGCGACAAGTTGCTTGTATTTTATACCTACGACACGAAATGGTCGCTTTACCGCGAAGAGGCATACGTAACGATTCACCTGTAGTGGATTTTTGTTACGTTGACGCTTTTTGATAATCTCAAAATGTGTTTTCTATGAATATGATCGTATATGAGTATAGGCAGCGAACTCGAGAGCTGCCGTATACTAACACGAATAAAATTTTAATTGCTACTGCGTCAATATGCTATTTGAAATACTTAATTAATCACGACAAATTAATTTTCGAAACCATAAATCGATTTATTATCTTAATGCCTTTCTTTTACTATTATTATTACTTTCTACTCATTTTAACTTGCATAGTATTATGTAAGTACAATGTCCATGCCAATGCTTCGAAATATTCAAAAACTTTGATGCCATTTACAATTTGATTGCTGCGATAATATTTTCCCAATTATTTCACGACTAAATGGAGTCTCTTAAAGTTCCATCAATATTTAGACCCTATAGATACATAGATTAAAACGAACGATATTATAAAATTATCTCGCCCTTCGCACGTACGATAATTCTCACGCCTTCCAATTGAATCGTTTTACAGATCTGGCACAGATTCGCGCCCTCGTGGATTCAACAGGTGGCGGTGGCGGTGGCCTCAATGGCTCGGCATCGACGAGCGGCATCGGCATCTCCGCGTCGCATCTCTGCCCGTCCTGCGAGATGCCCTTCGACAAGGGCAAAAAGCGCCGACTGATCGACTCGTGCGGCCACGACCGCTGCTACTCCTGCCTCGTGCGCACCCAAATCTGTCCCCTCTGCAGCTGTCTGCCGTATAGCAACAACAACTTCAACGCGAGCAGCAGCAAGTCGTTCGAGGACGATGACGATGAAGACGATATCGACGCGGACGATGACATCGACGATGATTACGACGAGGAAAACGACGACGAGAACGAGTCGTCGTTTCTGAGGCCGAAAGGGAGGAGGACTCGCGGATTCGCCGGCAGTCGGCAGAGCAGCGCAGCGGGCGGAGACTGGCTGGAGAGCGCCTCGCTCTGCGCCAGGCAGAAGAATTCGAAGAATTTCAAAACGTCGACGATCAAGGTATGCCTACTGACAACTATTTTCCTTATCTCTTGCGTTCTGTAGGTCGTGTGTGGCTAATGTTTTTTTCGCCTTTATGTTTATGGACTACGCACAGGCCAACGACGATGTGAAACTGTTGAAAGGAAAACCTCCGATTCTGCCCGAGTCGCGGCTCAAATCTCAGGACATGACCAAAAGTAAGTTGATATTGATAAGATGTATTTAAAAATTAAACATGACATAAAGTTAGATGTCACGAATGTTCTAAAAAAATAATAAATAAACAGTTATCATCTATATGCGTAAAAAAGCAGTAAAATGAAAATTAGCTCGCTAAAAATAGTTCAAAACATACACTTCGTATGTTCACCGTATATTTTCAAAGAAATAACATTAACTTTGTTTTCTTTCATTCGTGAAACAATAATTAAAACGAACCAATAGGCAATCTCTAAAATTAAAAAACTAAATGCATGCTCCGTTCAAAATCATTTCATTCTCATTTTAACTACAACTACGAATCAGTACCAAATATCTTCTGGCTTTAACTTTTGTCTGTTTTTTCATCTAATTTCAAAAAGGTTGTCCCACGCCACCGAGTCAGCGTAAAAAGTTTTTCCTCAACGGCAAGCTGCGCAGTCCCTTCGGCTCCTCGGCACACAAGCAGCTGCTCATCAACAACAACAATAACAACAACAAGCGCGAAAGATCGACCGAGAATCCCGCCGACAGCGAGAGTCCTTCAGCGATATCAGGTGAGATCAATTTTTTACTTTACCAAATAGAAAGTTTCTAGCCGCGTTGAAAACCTATACAATACATTGCATCGACGATTCTTTTTTTTTCTAAACCCTCTTTGTAAACACGTATCGCAATTTCGTTCACGACATGTATATTATCGTACGTTAGCGTGGATGACGGCTTCCTGGGAGGGCAAGTCGCAGTGGCCGGGCGCCGTGCTCGGCAAGATACGCTCGCTGTGGAGCAGCAGCCAGGGCTCGAGCCAGTGCGGCCTCAATCAGCTCATCGCCAACAACGCCAGCAACGATAATTGCGACGACGACCACGACGAAGTCGATAACAATTGCTCGGCCCACAAATTACCAGGCAGGGACATTTTTTCCCGTGTGCTCTGTTTTTTTTTCTCTCTTTTTTTTCTCTCGAATTGTGCGCCTGCGAGTGCTCGTGTGTGTGTACGTGCGTGTTTGTGTATCTTTTTTTTCTATTATTTTTACTTAATGTAGAATTCTGTTTCATTGAATGTGAACTTTTACGTATGGTGCTTTATGACTTTTAAAAAAAGGGAAAATTTTTTTTCGACGCATTTCAGAGCTGAGCAGCTTGGTTCGACGTCGATTGCCTGGATTTGTTCGTAGAGAGTGGATATCTCAGTGTTACTGTAGTACTGTATTTTTTGTGCTGCTTGTTTGATCACACCTTCCATCTATAGTGTTTTTGTTATTTCCTTCCGTGTTTGAGCATGATACTCATCGTAGTCGAAAAAAAGAGTTAGTCCCCTTTAGAATTTGCTGGAGTGCATCTTTTTTGAATAAAACAATTATGAAATTCAAAGAAACGAAAAAAAAATGTATTCTCATACTCTTTTCTGCTTTACAGAAGATGAAGGCATCATCGGCACGACCAAAGAAACCAACGGCGCTGGAGTCGGTCAGTCGACGCGACGTTCCGGCAACTCGGACCTGTACATGCGTCTGGGCCTGCTCCTGGGCAACGATCACCATCATCAATCGTCCTCGTCGCATCATCAAAAACTACGTTCCGCTCCGGCGACGAGGGCCAGTTCGGTGGCGAAGAACGAAACAGATCAGACGTCGTCGGCTCGATTACCACCCGCGGCAGCTTCGACCAACACTAGTCCCGTTTCGACGCTCACGGGCGCGTCGAGCGAGGCCGAGATCTGCAACGCGAACAACAACAACAACAGCAACGGCAGCAGTGCTCGGGCTACTCTGCGCGGCGGCATCTCGGCGGCCTGCAGTCCTCTGCTGCAGCACAAATTCTCGCGGCTGAGATCGTCCGCCGGTAAAGGCAGCAAGAAGTATCAACAGTTGCAACACCAGCAGCAGCAGCAGACAAGCAGCAATGCCGGAAGCGTCGCGTCCATCTCGACGTCCGCCTCGACGTCCATGTCGATGTCGCAGCAGTCGGGCGTCTCGATCTCGGGCCTGTCGAACGCCAGCTCGACCGAGAGTCCGCGAGTCTCGAGGCGGCGACACTCCGTGACCAACGGACAGATCGTCGTCGTCGGCGATCAGCAACAACAGGCCGGTGGATCGGCCAAGAACAGCAGGAGGCATCAGCACGCGCGCAGATCGGCGAGGGCCTACAATTACAAAGGGCCCGGCTTGGATCCGCAGAGTGAGTGTACACGGACGATTCCTAATATAATTTAATTTTTCTAAAAAATGATTCAAATTTTAAACACTGGAGTTGATCAAAATTTACTAAAAAAAAAATAAAGTAGCAAAGCACGATATATTTTAATTATTTTTATATTAACTTTTTTTGACTCATTAAATCTAATAATTTGATAATAAATGACTCGAATATCGAACTCGATTGCATACTAATCTCTGGCCTATGTTTTCGGCAGTTCGATTCCTGCAGCAGCAGGCGCAGCTGCAGCTGAAGCCGCTGTTTTTCGAGGTGCCGCAGGTCGAGAGCGAGCCCCTGTTCGTCGGCCGCCAGTGGCTGCTGCAGGAGCTCAAGCAGGTGGTCGAGGGCACGGCACCCGGGGCCCTGGTCGTCGGCTCGCCCGGCACCGGCAAGACCGCCCTCGTGCTCCAGCTGGTCGATCGCAGCTGCTTCGGTCGCAAGCACAAGGCCGATCATCGAACGACGACTACGGCCTCTTTGGAGATCGGCAGCTGCACCGAGTCCCTGCTCCAGGATCTCGCCACCAGCGTGGTGGCCTATCACTTCTGCCAGACGGAGAACAACGCCACCTGCCTGGTGCCCGATCTCGTGCACTCGCTGGCGGCTCAGCTCTGCCAGGCGCCCCAGCTCGCCGCATATCGCGAGTACCTGCTGTCGGAGCCGCATTTGCAGGGCGCCCTCAGCCAGAAGGAGTGCACCGTCGATCCGGATCTGGCCCTGCAGCGGGGCGTCCTCGAGCCGCTGCAGCTGCTCCGCAGAGCCGGCAGACTGCCCGACTGTCGGCTGCTCGTGCTCGTGGACGCGGTCTGCGCCGCCGAGTATCACGCGCCCGATCGCGGCGACACCGTGGCGAGCTTCCTGGCCCGTCACGCCGCCGGTCTGCCCAGTTGGCTGAAGCTCGTGGTGACGGTGCGCAGCCAGCTGGTCGATCAGTGCGCCAAGCAGCTGGCCTATCCGCGACTCTGCCTCGACAGTAGAAGCGGCAGCGGTAGCGGCGGTAGGGCTGGTGGTGGTGCTGCTGCTGCGGCGGGACTGCAGGTCGATCAAGCCCTCAACGTCAGCCGCGATTTGGCTGACTACATAAATCTGAGGATCAGTCAGAGCCCGGCGATACAGGCCAACGTGACGGCGGCCGGGTCTCAGAATCATTATCATCATCATAATCATCATCAGACGACCAAGTCGTCGGCGGTCGAGGCGTCGCGCTTCGCCGCCCACCTGCTGAATCTCGCCCAGGGCAGCTTCCTCTTCGCCAAGATGACCCTGGATCTGCTCGAGAGCGGACATCTCGTAGCCAAATCGTCCAGTTACAAAGTGAGTTTATATTCGTTTATTTATACATTTTTCTCTTTTTAAAATTTCAAGTGTGTAACGTAACTTATTTTTTTTTTTCACGCTTGCAGGTCCTACCCGTATCCCTGGCTCAGATCTACCAGCTGCACTTCAATCTGCGCTTCCCCACGGACTCCTCGTTCGAGCGGGTCTCGTCGATCCTCGGCGTCTGTCTCGCGGCCCTGTCGCCGCTCACCCTGCCCGAGATCTATCGCTCCTGCAACTCGCTCGAGAATCGCGTCTCGCTCGCCTGGGAGGACTTTTTGCAGAGATTTAAGGTACGTGTGTTTTTTTTATATTGCCGCATTGTTCTTTATTGAGTGAAATAATATAAAAAAAAAATCATCGTTTATTTACAATTCATATACGCGCGCGCGCGACGCCCTTATCCCGTGAAGGCGAACCGATACATCGACGTGTATTATATCACATAAACGCTCACACTCACACACAAATTGGGATATTTATTACGCAGTTTAGAGTATACAAATTATACGCGATATACAGGCGCGAGAAAAAAAAATTTGCTATAAAGCATATAGTATAATTTTTGCTATACTATATCGTACAGTAAATTTTTGTTTAAAGCTCGAAACGCCCACTAATTTTCTACTCCAAGCGGTTTTTTCTTCCACTATTTTCTTTTTTCTCTTCGCGATGCTTCACACACACGCAAGCGTAGCTAGCTCTCTTCTCCGATCGATTCACCTGAGCAACGGATCGAACTCGTACGCGACGTCCGAGTACTTTTTCTGGTGCGCGTGGCCGTCGGAGGCGGCGTCGCTCGTGCAGCTCCTGACGCTCGTCGTGCTGTCGTTGTTGTTGTTGTTGTTGCCGCCGCCACTCTGCTGTTGCTGATGCTCCTGTTTCATCGGTTTCTTGTACGGATAGATCGATTCCAAATAAGTGGCCGGCCGATTGAGCAAACGATGCTGATGATTGTACGGATGATGCTCGTTGCGGCTCTGGGTGGCCGATCCGCCGCTGCTGGCCGACACCGAGTGCGTGGCCGTCATCGACGGCGTCGAGTCCAGCGCCGCCAGATTCTTGTCGAAGACCCGCTCCATCTGCAGCTTGAGCAGCGAGTCCCCGGCCTCCTTGCGGCCGTAGATCTTGTTGTTGTTGTTGTTGGGCTCGGTACCAGCAGCCAACGTCCGAGCGATCAGATCCTGCGGGGCGATCTTGGGCCTCTTGTTGCTCTTGAAGAGGCAGTCGCGCTCGTCGCTGTAGCTCGACTGGTACGTGTAGCGGTAGACCCGGGGCGAGGTGACGCTCGGGTCGCTCTTGAGGCGCAGCCTCACGTTCACCGTCACGGGCTGCTCCAGCTCGCCGCTGCCGCGATAGGCCGGCGTGCTGAAGACGATCGCCGTGTTCTCGTAGACGCCCGGCGGGTAGGGCAAGCCGACGGCCTGCCACTCGTTGGCGTCGTCGTAGAAGTGCACCTCGACGTCGTCGCGCTCGACCCGGCCCGCCAACAGGCAGCAGATCTGATGGCCGGCCGGCGGTCCCGCCACGTGACTCAGCCAGACGATGGTCAGGTCGGGCTTGTCGCGCGAGTCGTGAATCGGCTCGGAGACGGCGGGCAGCAGGCAGTAGTCGAAACGGCCCTCGTGATCGAGATAGGCCGTGACGCAGAGTCGCGCCGACGTGAGATCGATCGACTGTTTGCCGCTGTCGGTGGACGTGCTGCTGACCACCCGCTGCTGGTCGAGCTCCTCGAGATGCTCGTAGTTGGTCTGGAACGGGTCGTAGCAGAGGTTGCGCCGGTCGAGGAGCGAGGCTCGCAGCGAGTCCGCCGCGAGCTTCTTGACGCGCAGATTGCGCAGCTCGATGGGCTTGCCGGGCTCGGCGCGGGCGCGAAAGTAGCAGATGCCCTTGGACATCTTGTAGCCGCGGCCGCCCTGCAGCAGATACGGGTGCGGATAGTGCGGCTCCTGGCTGGTGACGAGCGAGATGGTGAGCAGCACCGGGCCCTCGTAGTTGTGCACGATGATCGACGGGCAGTCGGCTCGGCGGGGATCGCGCGAGCCGATCTGCGACTCGCAGCCGCAGGCGTCGCCGGCCCAGCGGAAGAGCGCGCGGTGCGCGGGCTGCTCGTGGAACGTCACCCGGGGTAGGCTGAGGCCGCTGGCTCGTTCCTGGCTCAGCATTATTATTACGACGACTGCGGAGAGGTTGGAGAGGTTGGAGAGAGAGAGCTGGATTATTATTGACACATATACGGCACACACACACACGAGACAACACGACACAACAACACTAGCGCGCGCGAGCTTATTTTCGAATATATCGACAAAGCGTGTAGTGTGTACAGATCGAGGGAACGCTCGTAACTGAGCTTGTATTTACAGTCGGACCTCTTGGTAATTGAATTTTGAACTGGACCACGTGAGCAAAATTGTGAATTAAGGTTTCAAAGGAATTTGATTTGAAATAGAGAGATTTGTTTGAATAAATAATTGTGTATTAATTATTATCTTATTATACACATTGTAATGATATATATTTTTGTTAAAAGAGTAGCTTTGGTTTCTTAATTTTTTTTTCCAATCGTTATTGACATATCAAATTGACTTTATGAGTCGAAGATGATATTTATCGTTAAATGCATAAAATATAAAATCATGAATTAGAGATAATTAAAAATAAAATTATTGATTAGAAACGTGAATTCAAATGTCACTTTTTTTTAAGATGATTGAAAAGAGTTATTAAAATTTATGAAAATTTAAAAATAAATTCAACTGTATGTTATTGATTAATAAAATTGAATCGTATTATTATTTACAGATGCTCTCGGGCTTCCTGGTGAAGCGCCTCGACGACACGTACATGTTCTTCCATCCGTCGTTCAGGGAGTGGCTGATAAGGCGCGACGAGGGCGAGTCCTTCAAGTTCCAGTGCGATCTGCGCCACGGCCACGCCGCGCACGCCTTCCGCCTGACGAAGCTGGAGGCGCCGCTCGACGGCGAGCGCACCCTCGAGCTGGGCCATCACGTGCTCAAGGCCCATCTGTTTCGAGGCTGCAACAATACAAACAGCGGCGGCGGCACCTCGGCTTCGTGGCCGTCGCGCGACCTGCAGGCCGTCTGGCTGGCCACCGCCTCGCAAAACACCTCCGCGGCCCTGTGCACCCTGCGCAACGTCTACAGTCCCAACGTCAAGGTGTCGCGGCTGCTGCTGCTGGCCGGAGCCTCGCCCGACGCCGTCACCGACTATCTCGGCTCGGCGCCGATCCTCTGCATGTACGCGCACGAGGGCAGCTGCGAGATGGTCTCGCTGCTGCTGGACTTTGGCGCCAACGTCGATCTGGCCAACAGTCAGGGCTGCACGGCGCTGATCCTGGCCGCAGCCCGGGGCCACTGCGACGTGGTGAGGCGTCTCGCCGCGGCCGGAGCCACCCTCGGCCGCACCGACACCTCGCGCCAGTGCGCCCTGGTGCACGCGGCCAGACGCGGTCGACTCGCCGTGGTCGGCTACCTGCTGGCCTGCGACTGGCTAACGACGACGACGACGAACAACGACGGTGGTCATCGTCGGTTGGGCAGCGGCAGGAACGTGGATCGAGACGAGGCGGCGCTGCAGGCCCTCGTCGCGGCGGCGGCCCAGGGCCACGAGGCCGTCGTCGAGTTTCTGCTCGACATGTCCGAGGTCGGCGTCGACGAGGTGGACACCCTACTGGGCGAGACGGCTCTGAGCGTGGCCGCCGCGAACGGCTCCACGACCACCGTGTCGGCTCTGCTGGCCCGTGGTGCCGCGCCCGAAGTGCCCAACGCCAAGGGACTCACGCCGCTGATGCTTGCGGCCCGAGAGGGTAACTGGGCCACCGCCGAGCGACTGCTGCAACCGATGGGCAGCCTCAACGGTCGACGCAGTAACGAGGACGGCGGTGAGACGCAAACGACGCGATTGCTGAAACAACGGGACCCGGAAGGCATGACTGCCCTGATGCTGGCTGCCCAGGAGGGTCACGCCAATCTGTGCGAGCTGCTGCTGGACAAGGGGGCCCAGCTCGAGGATCAGGACGTGCGGGGCCACGGCGCGTTGACCTGGGCCTGCATGCGGGGACGCGTCCAGGCGGTGCAGCTGCTGCTGGAGCGAGGGGCCGACGTGGCCGCTTGCGACAGGGCTGGAAGATCGCCCCTGGATTTGGCAGCCTGTCAGGTATGTGTTATAACGAAAAAAATTGTATAGAAAGAAAACGAAACAATTTTTATAATTTCGTAATTTTTTCGCAGGTAAATCCAAAGATCGTGCAGCTGCTGCTGGACAAGGGCGCGGCGATCGAGCACGTCGATCACAAGGGCATGCGACCGCTCGACCGGGCGATCGGCAGCCGCAATCTGCCCGTGGTCCAGTCCTTTCTGCGCCTCGGCGCCAAGCTCGGCCCCGTCACCTGGACCTGCGCCAGCGGCAAGCCCGACATGCTGCTCGTGCTGCTCAACAAGCTGCTCGAGGACGGCAACGTGCTGTTTCGCAAGTCGCGCTTCAAGGAGGCCGGCCATCGCTACATCTACGCGCTGAAAAAGTTCCCGGAGGTGCCCGAGGCCAGCGACCAGCCCGAGCACGAGGACCGCAGCAACAGGCTGGCCCACGCCGCGGCCTTCGTCCAGCTGAGGATCAACTTTCTCCTGAATCTCAGCCGATGCAAGCGAAAGACCAACGTGAGTTTTGATTATGGAATGCAAAACGCATATTACCCGTGATAAATATAACGTTATCGAATGTCGCTGTTTTCTTCTTTCTTCGCAGGAATTCGAGGAGGCGAACGAGATAGCCGACGAGGTGCTGAAGATCCGGCCGCACTCGTTCGAGGCCTATTACGCCCGGGCCCGCGGCAACATGAATCTCGACCGGCTCGAGGAGGCCCTGCGCGACTGCGAGGCCGGACTGCGACACGTGCCCGAGCAAGCGCGACACGACCGTCGGGCCTTCCGCCAGCTCAGGGAGCAGATACTCTCGATGATCAACGGCACCGAGATACGCACCGACAAGTCCGGCCAGATCATCGTGCGCGCCTCCATCGACAGATCGACTGAATTGTAGATTTTAGTTTATTTTAATTCCTTTTTTTTGTATTAAAGCGTATCGCGTAGCGAATTAAGTTTTGAGATTATCGTTGTTGTTGTTAATGTTGTTGTATAGTCAAGTCAACGAGGATCGTGAAATGAAAATTTATATGTATCACGTGTGTGCCGTTTGTAATCGACGCGTTTTTTTCGGGCATCTATGTAATCGATAAAAAAAAGCTTTTAACTATATGATTGTAGAATTAATTTTGAGATTATCTATACTGCAGCATACGGGGGAGAAAAATCGAAAATGAATATAATTTTACTCGTCCCGCGTGTGGGATAAATCGTTATATTATGTAATAATGATAATAATGTTGCACGCATGCGAATCTATAGCTCTATAATATTAGATAAATTCAAAGGGTTAACGTACAATCGACGAGCCTTTGCGAACGACGAGATGAGTTTGAGAACAAAATATACTCGTGTCAAACACGTGTGAAACCTAAGTTATAATAAATTGTAAACCAAAATTTAGTCAATTAAACGATATATATCGCGCGCTTCAAGCTTTTTATGCATATATATTATTATGATATTATATATAGTGAAATTCGAAAAGCTTATTAGGCTTCTTGAAGAGAAGAAATTAAATTATTCCTACCTTTCGGACAGTATTCCCTTGAAAATTATATTATATATTTTGTATTAGGATCTTCCAAGCTTTACTTCGAATTATTGTCTATCGTATTTTATGGAATAATCAAATGTTTTATGAAAAATATATTGTTGTAAACAAAATTAAAATTACGAAAAAGCTAATGATTAAATAAATGAAATTATATTAGTGTAAAATACTTGCCAAGCACAAAAATTATATTTTGCGACTGATATACTGTAGTCAGATATAAATAAAATTTATAATTCTCAAATTAAAAATCTGTTTCATTAATAATATACCTTCGGAGATGAATAAATAATCCCACGAATAATTAATATTCAATTTTTATTTTCAGTAAATTATACATTATACTATTTATAATGCAGACTTACTTCTTTAGCATATTTTTTAAACGTCCAAGTTACATTAAACGTCGCATGTAAAAGTATGCAAAAGTACGTAGTAAAGTCAAGCTAAACAATTGAAAAATACTAGTTAGACCGAGCTTTAAAACTCAAAGCTTAAGTTTTCAAGTTTGTTGTGCAGTTTATTGTTGACATTTTTCAAAAGTTGTACATATGCATCGAAATTCTAAATTCTCTATATTCATATTAAAAATGTTTTTCCATGGATAAAGAACTTACCGAAATTGTCATTATTGAAATAAAATACAAAGTTTACCTGAGTAATGGATAAGTCAATTGAACACATTTGATTGTGTTTGTTTTTTCAAGTCTTTCTTTTCTATGACTCGAATCTATGAATTTAATCAACATTAGAGAAAAGACATATTTACTAAAATTTTGTTCGTTCTGCAGCAGTGAAAAAGCACTTGTTATTAAAAAATTCAGTACCTCGCTGTTTTATTTTTATGAATATATATGGCGGAAGATAATTTCGAGTCAATTGTTCACACATATGTTACAAAACAGTCACAACAAAATAACGTATTGAGTTAATAATAGACTACAACAATTTTTGGTTCAACGAATCATATAGGAGCAATGCTACATGATAACTATGTTATAATATAAAATTACAGATGAAAACGGGGAACGTCTAAATGTCTATATAAAATTTAAAATGTTCATTTTTTCATTATAATTAATCGGTATTGCAATGTATTCATATGTGGTTGAAACGCGGCTGCAAACACAAAGCTGCGCGAAGTGAAAATGCACCGACTTCTCATTTTTTGAATTTGATTTTGATTTAGAATGAGCAGAACAAATCGGTGTCATTTTCGCTGCTAACTTCTGTCAAATCAATCACATCGATATTATAAATATTAACACAGTTTGAGATTGCGCGAACGACTTTGACGATACGTTATATTATACGCATAATCGATTGTTCTATACAATAAATAATTTTTTTTGTTCTCTCGCCTATATCGATTTAGAAATGCAACGATGACATGTATTTTTTTTTTGTTATATATTCTATACAATAATATATAGGATGTAAATATACGTGTGTATACATAAAAATCTCTTTCTTTTTTTTTGTTCAACATGTACGATTCCGTATAATAATTATAATTATTATAATGTCATTACAATGTGTGCGTAAACGACGATCGATGATAATATAAATCCGATGCGCACGACGATACAATACAATAGAGGTAAACGTATAGGGTGCAAATAAAGCGTATCATTTTCTGGGACCTGCACTGATTTTTTTTTTCTTCGGCGCAGATTATACATCGCCACAGTCGTGACGCTCAATCGTGTGATATGCGCTTGAGATAGCTGCTCCGGCTCTACACAATAAACATGTAAAACGGATGATAAAAATTGATGATCTGTTACAATAATAATGCGGATCGTAGGGCGAGTAGCAATTAGATTTACTGTCCCTTGTAGCTGTCCTTGTTCTGGTAGCCCTGCACGTAGCCGGACTTGTCGACGACGTCCTTGCGGCCGGCGATGCCGCGGCCCTTGCCCGTCTCGTCGAAGCGCTGCTTGTGCGAGCCCGTGTACTTGGACACGTCCGTGAGCCTCTCGACCGCCGACATGGCCTTGGTGTTCTGTTCGCGGTTTCGACGAGTGAAAAGAGGGAGGAATGTTATTAGGTCGATCGAGATCTTACTTTAGTTGCAAATTATTTTTTTTGTAAACTTACGACCGATGGTCCGGTGACGCCGGGCGGTCCGCAATTGGCCAGTTTGCTCTTGATGTCGGCCACCTCCATTTTCTTGCTCTTGGCTAATTCCTCGAGGAAAGCTTTGTACTGCTCGATGCTCAGCTTCATAGCTCTGAGGGATATGTAAGATTACATTAAAAGAAAAAATATACTGGAAAAGAGGTCGCATAGTTTGATCTTTTATGTATTAGATGAATTCAATTTTGTTTGAAATTATTAAAGTTCCTGTGATTTAAATTTAGTTCGGATCACGTTAATTTTTTTTATTAAACATGAGATTAGATTCATATTCCTTCATTCTCACATTTATTTTCATGTTATCATTTACATCAGTACGAGTCGATCAATGTATCAGATATCAGATCTATCATCTAGGCTTTTGACTTATACAGCTATTTTGATTTTGCCACTTGGGGATTTACAAATAAAGGTACTCGCCATCTAGTGGCGGTTGTCTTTAATTATGATTGGCTTTATACATTCTTTAATGAATCAGTATTAAAACATTAATTTTCAATCAAAGTATTTCATTGACAAAATAAAATTAACAATCTATGCGATCATATTTTCATACATTTTCGCGCAGTTTATGTTAAACAACTAAATTAGTACTCATCGATTACCTCAATTTTAATGTTTGAACATAAAATCTTCGCTAAATTTAAATTTAAAGTTTCTTTTTGTTAACAGAGTATTTACGAACTTTTGTTTCTTGAAGAAGATGCCGGTATCGGTCGTCGTGATGGTCTTGCCGTCGATGACCTTGGCCTGCTTCATCCACTTGTCGCTCTGGCTCAGAGTAATGTGTTTTCCGTCGCTCTTGGTGTCTCCGAATTTCGAGAAGGCCTTGAAACTTGCGATAAAGGAACCGCCGCTGCCGTTGCTGTTGTTGCTGCTATTGTCGTTGTTGCCCGGCGCGGGACTGGCGCTATTGGAGCGCTTCTGCTCGGCCTCGCTCACCTTGAGATTGGCCACGTTGCCGCTGAGATTTTTCACCGCCGCGGCTGCATCCGCGCTTCCGCCGTTTTGCGCCATGATACGTATTATAAAGAGAGCACCGGTTACTGTAAAATCGAAAGAAATAATATAATTACAAAGTTATCATTAAAATGTAGCGAGCGTAACGCGCGCTCCGAGATATATTGTAACACATTTTTATATTCATTTCCGCCTCGTGCGGTGCGCCAGACAGAGAGAGAGAGAGCCTTATTACGCAGACATACGTAGCTGCGTGTAACCCGAGGAAACCGATCTATCCGATCAGCAAGGGTAAAATTTAAAAAAAAAAGATCGTATTATCTAATCGGATTATTATATCAAAGTATACGTTCATAAAGTGAACCTTTTTAATTACCCACGATCGTACATATGCGTATAAACAATTTTTAAATGCGAAAAGTATTCCAGATAAGGATATATGGGCGTTGATACACGTGCTATAAAGGTTAATTTCGTGCCGATCGATCGAAAAAAATAATTGTTATTATTTGTTTTCGTCGCTACGATATGGTCTTGTCGATAAAGGTGTGCTATTTAAACCTTATATGGGCATACCAAAGATATCGATTTGGAATAGCTTGATCAAATAAAGGCAACGTACATTTTTCACGAGTAAATTTTGGTACGAGGACTGATACCTTTTTAGCACTGATTACTCAATTCGACGTGGTGTACAATACTTCTTTTTCTTTTCCATAAGCACCGCTTCATTATCTTTTTTTTTGTTGTTGCAACAAAGTGTAAAAAAAGAAAAGAAAACCTAATTAAGTACAATGCAGATATACAAGAAATACCGCAAGTTTCTCAATTATACATGCGAACTAAACGGAGAGCTGCACACGTCAGATGCACACGCGCTTAGAGCTGTGCGCGATGCAGTTACTGCGGGTGCGAGTGCAATGCAACACAATGTATATGCATAAGATTCGCATAAATATTGAAACAAACGGACTTTTTATACGCGTTATAGAAAACATAAATTATGTGCTCGTGTGCGTGCGTGTGTTGCGCCTGCTGCCGAGTGCTGCTGCATCAACGCGACGCGACGTCTGTGCAGCAGCAGCAGAGAAAATAGAGAAAAAAAACCACCGTAACGAGGCCCATTTAAGAAGCGCGGCAAAAAACGAGTCGTGCCATCGAACTTCCGCCGGGGCAAAAGTCGAGACTCGAACGCGTTAGATTATAATGCGGGTATACGTTGCGCTTACAGCGATGATCGTAATGCGCGCAGCAGCTGACCCAATTCTCATACGCATGCAGGACTCAAATACACATATGTATAAGCGGAGCATCGAGTTCACAGTCACGGCCTAGGTACATTACATACGCGAACTATTCGCGAAGGCACGAGTGTGTTTTTTTTCTGCCGTTTTGTTTTTTTCGTTTACATAATACCCTGCGCGAAGGTGAAGTTTAATGAAAACTAACTGCTCGCGAGTGTGCGAGTCATGCGTGCATTCACGACACTTTTGTTACACGTATGTAATATACGCGCGTTTATGGAAACGAATTTTTGTCGGTATAGCGAAGCTCGCGGCGCCGCAGTATTGCAGCAGTGCGAAAATTGAATTTTGTTGGTGAGCGCGTGCGATCGTAAAAGTGTTTATCGCGTGATGTAAGACGCGCTGCCGTGCAATTGTGCTCTCGAGTCTTATCAAGTGTACGTAACGGGTATATAAATGCAATTTGTATACGAGTTGCGCTGGATAATTTTCATTCTTACGGCATTTACTATAATTATTCGCGATTACTCGCTCGGCGCGTGCGACGTGTTTTACCCCCTTTTTCCGAGTGTAATACTTGCACGCTGTGCGACGAGCATCATTTTTATATTTTTGACTAGAATCAACTAAAAGACGCATTTCTCGTGACTCCACTACGATGGTATCCGTCTATGAGGTGAATTGATGAACTATTTTACTAGTTCCAAGTGCCAAGTGGAACACCTCAAAATCTCCTCATCCCAAGGATTCCCGAGACGCATTTCGGTGTAGAAAACTATACCCTGCTGCCTCACGGATATATCATACCTTATTAGTATACCTGTTAGAATAAAAATATAGAATAAAAATAAAATAAAAATCGATCGCGAGTCTACAAGAGTAAAAAGCAGGTTTCGTAGCCACTAGGCTACGGGGTACGTCTTATGCAAAGCGACTGTTAATGAATTATAGGTTCGGCGTGAAGCGTTAGTTGTCGCCTGATTGACTACTAGTTGCTGTTCAGAAGTGTTGCTTCGTACCCAGCGTGCGAGGGTAGAAAATTAGGTAGATAAATAAAGTTACATTTGGGTTGCAAGTTAACTGAGTGACTTTATTTGTAGTTCGATAGCGAGTGAATTAGAACAGTCCGGTGCTCGTTACAAGTCGGTTAGTGGCGCGTGCTTCGTATAGCGCCAAAAGTAGCTCCTCTTGTAAAGAGAGAGAGGAAAAAAAAATTCCTAGAAATACGTCTTTTTTCATCTTTCAACCTCTGTAACTTGGCTCGTATTAGTGCGATCGAGCTCATCGACGTCTCATTTTAAAGGTAATAACCTACATAATGATGTAAAATAATTTTTATGTTAGTCAAATTGTTTATAATGAGCCGGAAGTCGCAACTCGCTCGCCCACGAGAGCTTGACCTAGGGAACGTTAATAAACCTGAGTTGTACTAAAATACTCAATCTTATTATTTCTCGCTCCTATCCAAGCCTCCTTTCCACTTCTACACTGAGAAGCCTCACTAGTGACCACTAGATGGCGCAGCGCCGGCATCCACAAGCTACTTATCCCCGCCAGGGCTTAAGTATCGGCCACTTCGAATTTGGTCGCTTAGGATTAGCAGCCTGGACCTTCCGGCTGCAACTGACCAGCAAGGCCAAGTCAGTTTCATCGCAGAGTCATCGCCGCCAAGACTACGAGGTTGACGGGATTTCCAGCCTTCCGTTGCAGAGTTGACTCCAGAACAGCATCGGATCTCGGTGATCACTCGATCCACATCACTCGCCAACTAAACAATTTGGAACTTGTACACGCCAACTCGGCCCCGGTCCTTTTCAGGACCACCTCTCGTAGGACCTCGAAAGACCTCGAACTTTTGCTAAAGATCGAAACTAACCGCCTTGTCAATTGTAGAGTACAAACTCCGCAACTCTTTTCGGTTACCAGCCTTTTCAAGGCTACCGTTCGAAAGCTAACGAACTTTTGTAGATGTTCAATTCAAGCTGTCTTTATATTTATATTTATATTTCAATTTATATTTAAAATTAAGATTAAAACTTAAAACGGATAAAAAGTTATTGGAACGTTTAAAACCCTTCTGTACCATGGCAAATCCAACGAAGAAAATTAAAATGAGTAATGAAACAGAACAAATGGAAGAAGAATCGTTAATTGAAGTAATAATTAATTGTGATTGTGATTATGACGATATGAGAGCCTTGCACTCTCTCAAAGGAAATGTGGAGTTATATTATGTCCTCGCTCTCCTACATTACCATTTGTAGTCGTCGTAGACGGCCTCGACTTCACGCATTTTAGAGACCCTGAAAGGATTTGAAAAAACTTCTGCGGCCTGCCTCCAGAGGGCTACCGCTCTCCGATCACTGCCGCGCCGCTTCTTCATCTTCAGTTATTTTTTCGTGCGCGCCAAGACAACACGTGTCTTAGAGACCCACAAAAATGTCGTCCCGAAAGAGATCGTTAAGTCCAGCGCGAGAGATGGAAAAACTTATGAAAAAAGTGAAAAAGCTAGAAGAACGTGTCCAGGCGGCTAGTGCAAGGTTGCAGAATAAGGATTCGTCGGCAGGTGAATCATCGCCGGAGCATCGGGACCCGGACCCTTCAGACTCGTCCTCTCCTGAGGATGATTCGTCCGAAAAGAAGGAAGAAGAAAAGGTCAAAAAGAAGGAAGAGGAAGTCGAAACTGTAGGCGAAGACGAGGAATGGGCTGAGATAGTAAGTGAAAAATGTTTATTCAAAAAGATAGAGACGAGCGAACACCGCTGTGGTCGTCAGGTACAAGCGTGTTCGGACGAGTGTCGAGACGACTAAGCGTAATGCTGTGCAAGCGGGCGGTAGAGGTTAATTCCTAGAACGTCGAGTGTCTGTACGAGTATCAGGACAAAGGCGCATTGTGATTGTGATTATGACGATATGAGAGCCTTGCACTCTCTCAAAGGAAATGTGGAGTTTTATGCAATGATACATGAAATGTCCTTAAGTCCTTTCCATGTCATATATTTTTGGCCTGAACAAGTATCAACAAGATATAAAAATGAAAGTGAAGCAATACAAGTAATTAGTACAGAATTGATTGACGTACAACCCTTTGAAACTCAATCCATAAAAGTAGTGGCATTCTCCAAGTATCAATAGTTGGACTTATTGATGAATCTTGCATAACACCGCTTTACCAAGTAATAACAGAGCAGAGAAGCAATAATTTTATTAACTACATTTTATGCGAATGGTTCAAGACAGGCTTTGATCCTCCAAGCGAATTAATCGTGCCACCTAACGTTGCTTTCATTGAGGGAGCAATAAGTGCACTGAATAGTAACTACAGCATTGAGAAATTGATGAAATCAATATATACAATATGTACAGAGTTTACACTCTGCAACTCCTTTCGGTTTCAGGCTCTTTCAGGGCTACTATTCGAAAGGTCATCGGACTTTAATAAAATCCGACTTTCCCGGTTAACATAGTTTAGGCCATAGAACCAAGAGAAATTCCAACGTTTGTTTTACGACTTTTATAGAGACAATATGAAAACATAAGCTAGTGAAAGCTCATAAAAAGTGATAAAAATTTGAGTGATACAAGCGCAAGTAGATGTTACCTCGTTCCATCTCGACACAGACTCATCGACGTATTCGTTCTCCAGCAGTCAAACAGACAAGTTATACATCAAAAGTGTTCACGTGTAATAATATTATATTCCATCTATTTCCTCTACCCAATCATAAGCCTCGCAGGATGGCTTCTGTCGATATCGATATCGACTTTAATTATCATTTTCAAATTGCGACTTATATATAAGAAAAAAAGTTATATATGCAAATTTGTTGACTCAGTCACTAGCAGATTTATAGATTTTAAGATACTCGACATCTAGCGGTAGAGACGAAAATTACCGTATTTAAAACAGTTGAATATTCATCTAAACTATTGAAACAGTTGAATTGTCATTCAATTTAATAATTCACGATACGCTAAATATTTGTAACGCAATTGCAACAAATTACTAATGCGTATTGCAAAAAGTTTAAAATTGTCATTTTTTGGTCATTAGGTCATTATTAATGTTGAACAGTTCTACCAAAATATTGCACTGAATAGAATCCTAATTATCAATCGATAACTTGTTAGTTGCTAAAAAAAGGAAACTATGGTTGATTTTCTTTTTTGGAATTTCTGCGAGAAACATAACAATCAGTTTTCTATCTGCACCGGCAAAGATCATCTATGAATAAAGTTTCTTTGTACTGCAATCAATAAAAGTCTTCACCATCGACCTATTTGCTTTATTTACCCGTCTCATATTTTTGTTTTGAAAGAAGCTCGATATAATACCAAATCTGTTTTGGTAAAGTGTTTGCAGTCAACTCTCCCTTTGCCTCCCACGCAACATAACATAATAATACCGCCGTACGTAACGTAGAATTACAATAGCTAATATGCAACGCATACACGTCGAAGTTCGTTTGACGAAGATGAGCTCGGCCACGTCGTGCAGACGCAGTGTGGGTGTACAAAAAAAAATATAAAAAAGAAGGAGCTTCCCGCGCAGAAAATCGCGACCTCGCTTACAAAAATAGAGATTACAGTCGATGCGATGCGTGCGTTAGACGCTATATAGACACATGGCAAATTGCTATTACGTTTTATTAACACACGGCCGTAGTGCACACGCGCGCGCACACATACTCGAGAGCCTCGGCGCGTGCATTGTTTTCGCGAGTTTGAGCCTCGCGACGCGTCGCGACTATTTAATCACGTATACAAAGAAGCGGTAACTATATAGTTATCTGGAAAAATCAACATGAATCTTTGCGATAGATGTGGAAGAAGCTTTAACTATGCTCCACATGAAGGAGTTGATCGTTTCTTTCGAATCGAGTGTCAAAAATAGATGACACCGGTCTGAATATTATTGACACATTTGCTTGCATATAATTGTTAATGTATATTACCTTGTATTTTAACTACTTTAGCCTTACGGTGGAAACACCTGGCGTAATAAAATTTGTATCAATCAAAACACATATAAATTAATGTGTGTGTGTGTGAGCGAAGAGACGCCGGTACACGTCGTAAATATTCGAAAATTGTGTAAACACGAGCGTCTTTTTTTCACAACGTGCAGGACCATAACTAAACACTCAATCGCAACAAAATATTGGTCTTCTTTATAATTACTGATATTCATTGACCTGTATAGGGGTTTCTTGGGAATAGGATAAAGCCATCTATCGGTGGGTCGTGGTATCGGTCGCTTATCTAATGGTTAAGTTGAAGTGACTTGTCGGAGGGACTTGCAACCGTGTATACTTAATTATCTTCGTTCCTCGCGCCTAATTAGCGAAACTATATCCGCATATACCTATCCGCTCGTCGCACACGTGTGTTTTTTATACATTCGTCATGCTTAAAAATTTATTCAATCGCGCCCAAAGTTAATGAAAAAAAAAACGCAGATTATAATACGAATGACGATAATAATGCACGAAATAGAGTGAAAGTCAAGTCTCTTATCGTACCGCGAATGACGGAGCACGCAGTCTACGTCTCTTTCTCTCTCTCTCTCTCTTTCCCTCTCTGTCTCTGCGATTGTGCCGACGCAGACTCGCGCTCGAGGACTAGACAATAGAGCAGTCGTATTTATACACACACACACACACGTAGTACGCAGCCTGTGTGGGTGTGGGCAGACTGCGCGTTTTGCAATCGGAGCTTTATACGTTCATATGTACAGCATTCGTTACACGAACTCATCGTGCAGAATAACGCAGGACAAAAAAGAAAAAGATTATAACCGCTGCTGGCAGCTTCTAGTATTGATCCGGTGCGAAATTCCCAATCGAAATCGATAACGTAATACATCATAATATCGATATACGATACGCGCGACGCGTAGATATATAGCGGTTGCAAGCGCGCGTGCGAGAACTGATTACAAACCATTTATATTTAGTACCAGAGGTTCATATAGATATGACATTTTTCTAATTGAAAATTTTATTCATTTGCTTCCTTCCGTGCTTATTCGCGTAAACAATAAATAATAAAAACTTTGTATCTATACGCTTTCCACGATAAGAAAAATATAATAATGCATGCAAAATTTTTATCTCGGTTGCATAGCCGCTGTTCCATTCCACTCTGCTCTCTGTTTTATTCGGAACGATGCAGCAGCTACACGATCGAACTTTGTATTATGCAAAAATCTCCAAAGTCCCGTTTGCATTCTTTTTTTTTTCGTTTCGCTCGCTCGAGCTAGCTGCAAGCTCGACAACGCGCGAACAACTTACTAACTATATACGTATGCAACGATCCAACAACAATCAACATGCAGCGCGGCACAGATGTTTAATCTAGCTTACTTTTTATAGTGCGTGCAGGCTATATATAAGCGAAGTCGGTCAAGTTCCTTGGCCGCGAGGATCCAGTATATGCATATAATATTATGCAGCACCGAACACGCACGCACACGCGGTTTATATACACACACGCACACGCACTCCGATGCACGATTAAACACACTGCGTACGTATGTGTACGCGATGAACTAATCGGCCTGGAGGAAAGAACTGATATATGTGCCAATGACGTCGCTTTGCATATTATGTATACCAGAGAGGAGGGAAAAGAGTTTATGTACGGGCACAGAGCCGCGAAGCGATCGACACTTTGAACACTTCACATGTAGATCGCAGAGAACTTCCCCCCTCGCTGTTATCTGCTGCTGCTGCTGCTGCTGATGGCTGAGAGAGATGATGTTGTCTCGAGAACTAGTGCTCCCCGTATATACAGTGTGTGTGTGTACACGGTGTGTTATGAACTTTGCGGACCGTCGCGAGAGACTTGCGGGTGCTGCTGTTGCTGTTGCAGCTGCTTCCATACAACGCGCAAGTCCTCTATCGATCTGTGTGGAGCGCGCGGACCGCCTTGCGCGTGAGCTGCTGCTGCTACACACCAGCTCTCGCTCGCTCGCTCGCTCTCTGCGCTGCTGCGCTACAGTGCGAGCGAGTGCAGAGAGGGCGATCGCGCACACAAAAGCTCTTTCTCTCTCTCTCTGCTGCTGCCGTGCGACCCCTTCTGGCTGTCTGCTGCTGCAGTGTGAATCGAGCCTGCACACAACGCACGCGGCCTCATTCAATTTTTAGAGAGAGAGAGAGAGATAGATGACGTTCGCCCGCGCCCCTGTGTACTCGCTCGAGTTGAATGACTTCCCAGACGTGCCCTCCGCGCGCGCGCCAAGGATTAATATTATGTGCTCGACTTATACACATCCGAGAATCGTAGCCCGAAGAAAGAAAGAGAGAGAAAGATGGAGAAAAAAAAATTAGCACTCGCGTGCCGTGGAATCGAGCAACATACATTATTACGGATTCGTGCGTGCCCGATCGCGCGAGGATCGCGTTTTTCTACGAATAACATACCTTAATAGCGCTGTATATCTGTGTCGAAAAAGCTCGAACGGATAGGTCATTCGTTAAAAAAAGCGGAGCATGTCTCTCTTTCTGTCGCGAGGAATACGTGTGCGCGGTAAAAAATAATACTCGACGCTATATTTGCGTAAATAAGTAGGTGTACGTGCAGTGTAAGTAACTTCAAGGACGCGAGCTCGATAATTTCAAGTAGTTGCAGATTATCGATAAGATCGAGAGTGAGATTATTATTATTTTTTTTTTCTTTTTTGCTTCGTTTCCAAGGCGGGGATATCTACGTAAACTGGCGAAACTTTTGTGCTGCCTCTCTGTTATTGTATCGTAATTATAGATCGAGCGAGAAACGATTTTAGCGGTCTATATGATTTTAGGTGAGACTCGAAGAGGCTTCTTCCGGGCGATTCGAGAAAACCGATTGGCTTGCGACTCTTTACAAACATAAAATGTAAGATGCCGCGCCTATTTTTAGATTTATGGTCCGTTCGAGTTTTCCACTGACTCGACAAATTCGCAACTTGCGGTCATAAGTCAATCGTAACTTACCACTTTGATTTTGTTTCTTCGACAACTCGAACGTGTGTTTCTTCTTGAAATCGACCCGATGCTCGCGAGTATGCAAAATTCACTCGAAATCGCACCTGTTGCCGATACACACAATCACGCGCGCGCGCGCACGTTCGAATCTCGCAGCTCGAGTTGAAAATTGCGCCAAGTACAATTGCTCGCGTGAACAGTATACTTCGCGCGCACAACTGCACTCGCGTTGTCCACACTTCAAACTCCTCGAATTAGTACACCACCGCCCCAACGTGCATACTACTATTACAAAGGCACGTATGCACCGACGCACGTAAACACCCACCCGCGCAGGCTGCACGCGATCGAGGCGCGAGAAAAAGTTTCGAGCGATCCTGTAGAGTATATATAGTGTCTGTGGAGATGGTCTGGCACGCGCGCGCCAGACACGCGATAGAATTGCTCGGCAGCGTCGGACTGGAGACTCTTGCGGCTTGGCGCTTAGTTTTATTATAGCAGCAGCAGCAGCAGCGGCAGAAACGGCGGCAGCAGTGTACAGTGTAACGAGCCTATAAGAGATTGCGAATCGTGACGCCGAGGTGCGTCCCATACACAGCGCGAGCTATGTACACATTGTAGTAGGTGTATTATACGTTGGCTCCGACACCCGCGCTTTAGTACACCTATACCTATGTGGGTGATTGTCACGAAAAGCTTGTTTTTTGATGTCCCGTCCTGTAAGCAGTTGAAAATCGTGAATCGACGACAGAATAGTTAGATATAAATTATTTCAAACTTTTACATTGAATATTAAAAAGCCGTATTACTCCATAGTCATATTTATCGTCATGTGTCTACTTTTAAGAATCAGTCAAACATTATACCCTAAAATTGAATTATCTATGTGCCATTATAAGTATATGGATTATTACACTTAAATATGAGTATTTTTATATTTCTATGTCCAGCAGTGATAAAAATTATTTCGCCGTCGTTATAGCAGTTTAAATAATGTCCATGGGAAATGTTCGATTTTGAGATCCAATATTAGCATGCACTGCGCATACGCGTGCTCAACTCGTTCGCTGCCTAAAGTGTATACTTTCAAACTATGATCGACAAGCCGCTCGTCAAGGACTACTTCCCGGGCGGCTGGCACCACTTCGACAAGGTGGTGCCGACCTCTCGACGTGCTCGGACTCGGTCGGATGGACGTTAAGGGGTTGCTCGAGTCGATCGGCGAGGACGAGCTGTTGCTAATTCTGGCGCTGCACATGTACGAGGAGGGCTTGTCGCTCATGGACGAGGCGACCAATGTCTGGGGCCATCGCAGTCGACGCTGCTCATCGAACTCGAGTGCCTGAACACTAGTCTCGGTACGATCAAAATAGAGGAAGATAAATGCATTTGAAAATTGATTGTTGGGATTATTTTGTTGCGGAGCGTATTTTTTATGTATTTCCTCATTAATAATTAAATTCTAGGTACAAATAAGCATAAAATGAGGTATTATACGCGCTGTAAATGTTTGAGCAACGTGCAATCCATAAATGCAGTGAAAAAACAAACTTTTTGTGGCAATCACCCATATACTATGTGCCTTGTGCCCGATGATATGATATAGTAGCTACGTCGTGGATCGATATGCGCCGATTCGCGTAAATCGCATCTGTTGCTAGATACATTTACCTGTTGGTTACATAGCTTTGTGTGACAAAAATTATTATTATTCTTTTTATTGAAAAATTATACTTAAAAAACCAAAAGCCCAATCAATTTTATTATTTATGCACAATGAAGCTTAAGCTTTGAAAAAATTTCTGATAAAAGTATTGAAAATGGTTGATTTTCCATCAGTTTTCCTCGGGTCATCCTGTTATCCTGCGGTAGGCAGGATATTTCCAGACAGGATCATCGGAAACCAAAAATTCGACACATTTCTCAAATTTTATTCTCTTGACTTGTGATTCAACGAAGAAAAAGAAAAAAAAATGAAGTTCGATCATTTGTCACGAGTTTGGTGGATTTTTTGTCTATTTTTTCCCTATGTGGACGAAAAAATCATTTAACCCTTAATTGAAGCTGATAACGTCTGGGCAGCTAATTATCATAAAATATGTATTGAACCGAAAAGGCTATTATTATGGGTTTGCAACTATGTCAGCGACTAAGTAGCCTCAAGGTTAGGAGCTTTATATGAATTTGCGATCGATATGTGTACAACGAAAGGGTATACCGATGAGCAATATTGGAAAATCATACATTTTCAACTGATAATTTTTTGTAAATTGAATTTTTAGTTTAATTTTTCGAGAAAAAAAGAAGGTGACCATTATTAATATTTCCCTTGTGCTATACCGATATATCTCAGCCTCGAATCATAATTCCTTCTCAAAGTACAGAAAATCAAAAAAAGTAGATTTCTATCATTAATTTTTTTGTTAGGCAAAATAAAATAGACATGGTAAGTGTAATACGTACTAACTAAATAAATGGAAAGATTTTTCGACCATTGATATAATCATTTACAACCTTAACGATTTTTTACCCGACGATCGAATTAAAAAAAAGTTCTAGAGATTTTATTACACTTGCGTTCTGTAAGGCTTGGCTTGACCTTATATTTATTTTAACATGAGCAAAAAGTATTACTTCCATGTGGGTTGGGTTATCGATTTAATGAGGCCTTTCGACTCGCGGAGGGTTCCAATATATATATTGATGGCACGTCCGCGCGTTACGCGTTTGTAATCTCGTACTTCGTACATGATAGATACAAATATCGATTTGATGAATGCCTCGATCGAATGCTATGGTATATAAGTACTTATTGTGCGATCAAACCCATTTCCAAAGCTTGGAGTTGTAAATTTAATCGACCATTCGCAATTGTACAAGGACAATAATAACCCATTAACGTCGGGAAGACACGATTTGATATTCACTTTCACAAAACCATAAAATCTAATGGTTTTGAGTGTGTTATTTTCAATGGTTGTATTTAAATTGCTTGAATTAAAATTTAATAAAAAATTTTAAATTTAAATAAAAATGTGTGTGAGGTCAACTTTTTTTTTCATTTAAATTTTTTAACCTTTTATTATTTTTATATGGGGTTAAAATGTATACAGAACTGGATCTTAAAATCTCTCCTTTGAGAAACCAAGATTAATTCAATCGAAAATAATATATTACGTGCCTAGGGAGCAAAAAATCAACTTTTTTTAAACAAAATAGAGGCCGGAGTAAAAAAATTTACTTTCAAGTCTCACTACTTTTTTATCTCATAAACTATTGAGTTAAGCGAACCTACCTCCTCCAAATTAAAAAGAAAAAATATTTTTCAAAGATTTATTTGTAATAGAATGAAACGTCATATCATAATGAAAATTTTTTACATACTTTATTGACCTTATACTATATAAAGAAAATTTTTTATAATTTTTTGTCACCCAGTGTCGTATGCTACAATTGCTTTAAAAGAACACGAAAAAAAACCGCGGTGGGAACGATTAAGAAAAAACCATTAATTTTATCACCCTGAAATTTTAACACAATAATCGGCCCATGTTACTGCTCAGAATAAACTAGAATGGAAAAAATCGGCATAATATTTTTGGAGATATAAACAATTTTTTTTTCTCTTTCTATTACTCCTTCTTCTAGAGAAAGGCCTGCAGGAGACTAGAGCCTGTGCGCAGGAGAGATTACTGCTATACCCCCTTCCCTACTGACTCGCATTTGACCAGACCCGAGGACCAGTGGGGCAAGGGAAACCTGAGGGTATACGTAGTGCATATGCACTACACCTTCAAATTTTCGAAAAAAAGCCACCATTTCTTTATTTTTTAACCAATGATTTTCATTCTTATTCATTCTAAGCAGTAACATGGACAGATTATTGTGTTGAAATATCAGGGTGATAAAATTAATGATTTTTTCATAATCGTTCCCGCCGCGGTTTTTTCGTGTTTTTTTGAAATAATTTTAGCAGACGACTCTGGGTGGGAAAAAATTATAAAAAATTGTCTTTATATAGTATAGGGTCGATAAAGTATGTAAAAAAATTTTCATTGTGATATGACGTTTTATTCTATTACAAATAAATCTTTGAAAAAACATTTTTTCTTTTTAATTTGGAGGAGGTAAGTCAACAAAAGAGGTTTAAAATTGTTCAAGAAACATCCAGAAAGTATCTATGCCCGATTCTATGGAAATGGAAATCCATACCCTCGTTGACGATGAGCTTTCAATTTCACCGCTAGATGTCACAATGAAATCTAAATGTAAAAAAATTAAGTTGTCTAGTTTTATTTGAGTAAAAACTATAGTGGTACCGTCTATGTTCTTATACAAATGTTAGCCTATTGTATAACGAACCTTGTACGTTCGCTCGTACAAAGCTGGCTGGGGTTGCATGCACGCGCAGCGACGACCCACGGTTAAATATACACACACAATACACGTTACACACACCGGAATTGTTTACAAACATACTTTTATGCGCGAACAGATCGAAACTCGCGCGATGGATCAAAGTGTTGTATCGGAAAAGAAATCTTTAATATCGAAGTGATTTTTTGAAAGCCGGCACTTGAAGCTAATGCTTATAGTTAGTGTATTTATTAGGCCTAGCTCTGCGGTACTGCAATTCAAATAGACCGGGAGATAGTGACCGTTAATAGGTGCTGATTTTTCCACTTAGTATATCCCTAGTTCCGGAACTGTTCATTTACGATAGCATACTTAATACGCTTTTCCTCTCAGGCCTCCATAAAAGACACTAACCGATTCTTAAAGGGGATACATACATCGAAGATGTAGATATGAGACATTACGCCGACGTTATGAGGCAGTAATCGGGCCAGACAACGTTTATCAGAGAGCACAGTAAAACCATATCCCCAAAACTGGCAAACGACTGCAAATTCAATGCGAATGTTTTTCTGAAGTCGAAGAAGATTTTCAATGTTCAAATTGTCAAAGTATTCGAGGTAAACCGCGCAGGCCAAGCAGACTAACTGCTCATCTTGGGCAACCAAAGGGTAAAAAGCCAACCCTCGACCAACACAATTCCAAATGTATATACCACGTCATATAAATTTCGATGTGGTTGTCAATGAAAACTCGAATGGCCGCTGCAGTCGGTTGTCGAGCAAAAACATTTGCACAAAATATTGAAATAAAATTATCTTCTATAAGTACATTTTAATTTGATTATCGAATGAATTTTCGTACTTACCAATTTCAATAACTTTTTTATGTAAGTATGTATTACTGAAAGATCTTTTTACCACGCCTTTCCTTTTTTTCCCTTTAAAGCTAAATTTCGTTGCCAATTCATTTGAAATAACAGCTGCAAGGATGTTGCGTGTAGTGTAATGGGCATCTTTGCCTCCACGTGTTTTAAGAAATGATTTCTGAAACAAAAAAATATAATGAAATTTCAGAAATGGGTGAACATTGTTACTAATACTGTATGACAAAAACTTTTTTCAGAACTTACAGTCTTTTTCCGCATCTTTTCACTTTGGTTCAGCTTGCACTCAAATGCATTGAAATCGTCCATTGTTTTGAGAGGAAGTATCGACATGAATTTTGTCCTGTTGTGTCACCATCTCTGCTTCATCATTTGTGTTGTTCATTGGCGCCACCTCTAATTTGTACTGGATTTTATTTTGATTTAATAAAACCTCTTGAAGCAGTCCTGTAAATAATAATTTTATTACAACAAACAATTGATTTGAGCTTCTCTTCTAATTTTACAAAAATTATTGTCTTTGCGATGCAATTTAAAAAATGTCAAGCCATCATCAATAGTCGGGTCTTCAAATTCGGCTAGACGATGCGTATAGGAGTTTTTCAAATCGACGACTAAAATCGAGTAAAAATCGTTTCGATTGGCGAAATATGTGCAATATATTGGCAATATGTTAGTGCAATATATCGCCAATATATTGCAACTGTAGAGGCAAATGGACACGCGCCAGTATATTGCCGATTTTAAAAATGAAATGGTTTTAGCAATATATTGCCAATATATATAGCTACCTGAAAACTAAATTTGAAAAACATCATCAATTCATCTTTGTCTAACTAAGTTCAATTCGCATCTCTTTAAATATAAAAGGTATAGTTAAAAAATATAATTTATTTTCGTAAATCATTAATAAATAATAACAATTAATTTTTTTACAACTAACATTCAAATCTTGCTTCAGATAATATATATCAAGCTTTTACATGTTTAACTCTAATATAATACTTCTGGCGATTGCTGCAGCTGCATAAACTTTGACGAATTTTTGCCGTATTAATTGGGAGATAAGTCGAATTTCTCATGATTCTTTTCGTACTTTCTCCTACCAAAACGAAGAGACGTCGATGGACCTAGAAAAGAAGAAATATTTTGAACGAAACTCCTCTCAGTAACATTAATTTAGGAACAATATTAAAATGAGTACAACTTTACAAAAATATTTTAAAACGCACGATAGTAAATTTATACTTACTAAAGAAGTTTTGCACCATCGACTCTTGCAAGTCCTCTTCAACGGTATGACGTCCAAACGATCTTCGTCACCTGGGTACCATGATTCCCGTCACCTCGCCACCATGATCCTTGTCACCTCGACCCTATGAGTTCCGTCACTTCGATGCCACGATTCCCATCACATTGGCACCATCATTTCTATCTCCCGGTCACCATGATACTCGTCACCGTCATCCACATCTAGAAAACAGAACATAACATTTAAAATTCACATGATGCACTTGAAATTTATTTCCAATAATACTATCGCGGATCGATTTCTCGTAAACTTTAAGTATGACATCGCGACTTTTCTGCTACACGTAAAAAATTGACGGTAAGGATTATTTGTTTGTTTGAAATAATGCTTACAAGGTATATTGAGTGTATCGCCATTAAAAAGGTTGGAAATATTGTATCGAATATAATTTTTCAATATCGTATCGGTATCTATAATATTTTAAATATAATATTTTATTATAAGAAATATCGTATCGATTATCGTGCATAGGTTCGGTATAATAAAAAAGTACGAAGTTTCATTTTTTTTAATAGTGAAAATTATTTAAGAATTTGAAATTTAAATATAATTATTTAAGTATACAAAATATAATGTTCAACAGTTCTTACACAGTATTTAAATAAAAATTACAAAGGAACCTTGCATATTTCGTTTTTAAGCGAGGCCTTTATCCATCTATTTATGCAGAGGAGTTCTAGTTAATTTTGATCTTTTAAAGAACTTCTTACATTATTTACAATCAGGCTTACCTCTGAAAAAAAGCCTTTTTACTGGGACAGACCTTGTCTGAATGGATAATATATCTCTGGCTACTAAAGCTAAAACTGGATATTTTTTTTAGTGATTTTTCCACCAATCCAATATATCCGTATTTGGATTTTCTCTATTAACATTTAAATATTGATCGATTTCTTGTGTTTGCTTGCATGAAAAAATTTTTCAAAAAGAAGAAAAACTAAATTTTTCATTGAACCTGAAATAAACTTCGGTTAATTTTTTCACGCTTGTTTTTCAATCCTGATAAGGTCGCGTATAAAGCGGCGAAACGTCCATTGTTTGTATATTTTTAATTGAATATTATTAAAAATTTTTTAAAATAAACATTAACTGTTACGATCCGGGTGATAAGCATGAAAATTGTGTTATTAACTATTTTTTAGTTAGAGGCTCGGCATTGTGGTTAAATTTGGGAACAGCCTTCTAAAGCTGACACGAATTTTTATTTCTTATTTTTCCAGCTTTCTTTTTTCATTTCTCGTCCCCAAGGAGTCTGTTTTAAGCCAATAGATTAGATTCAAGGATCGAGCACTAATGATATGCTGTAGATTCAATTGAACTTTTTGTAATGGAACAATAATTTATGTTTTCCTGCTTGTGAGGAAAAAATTACTTTTTAATTTTCTTCATTTCGTTCTTCTTTGTCATTCAAACTAAAAGATGTTTTTTCAATGTAATCTAATAAAATATTAAATTTTCTTACAACATCTGGCAACGTCACGCGATTTTCTCCACTAATATGCTTATACACTATTTCAAAATTTCCTACACGCTCAGCACTAAATAGTAAAATTCGACCCAAAAAAGAGTAAGAAGAACTCTTTTCAAAAGTAAACTGATCTTTTTTTTTTTTAGGTCGAATTTTACTCTTTTGTGCTGAGTGTGTAGGTACTCGACAATCAATTCATTCATTTACAGTTATAGTGCACAGCATAACCCCGTTATCTGCGCATTCAATATCTGCGGCACCCTTTCGAAACGTAACCCCCGCAGATATCGGGGTTTAGCTGTATTATCTTAGATTAAAATTTGTTGCGCACAACATTATAACAGTACCTTCTAAATTTGAAGCTTATACTTTCAGCATATTTTAAGTACTATTGCATTGGGTTTTACAATCGATTATTGGTTTTTTAAATTCTAGGTCGAGAATACTAAACAATTTTTCAACTTATTTGTAATAACTTCTAATTTTAAATTTTTTTATTTTTTTTATCGTACTAACCAGATTAGTACTTTTAGATACAAGAGGCGAAAGCTGAAGTTCCGCCGCCGCGCGAAGTTGGCGCCGCAGGCGGGCCATAATATTCTTCAAATAAAACGAAAGAATATTTTCTTTTTGTTTTTCACGCACGTACTTGGGTGAACGTTGCTCCACAAAAATTATTTTTTATACCAGCGGCCCGAAAGTGACTACTTCCCTTCCGCTGCGCAGAGCGGGGAGAGCGATTTTCAGCATACTGTAGATAAAAAATAGTATACAGGCCTATGCCGCGAAAAAAACCCCCAGATCACGTGCTTATCGGCCTCGGCTTCGCCTCGGCCACTAATTACCAAGATTTTAGAGGTGAAGTTCAGTGTAAGTTTTGAAAATTTGATTATTTTAGTGATAAGAAATGATGTAATACTGTAAAATATCCAATAAAATAGAATAAATGCCATGGTACAAAAATGTCACGGGATCTTCTTCCCAGGATGTTGTCCTATATATTTCTTTTATATGTAAAATTTCTAGTTATTTATAAATTTAAATAACGAACAACAACAAAATAAATAAGAAAATATAAGAAAATTCAAGCACAATTCATTCGAGAATTGGCTGGGGCCCCGACTTTAGAACGGAGCAATCAAGCTGTCTCTCGCTTAGAAAATAAGTTCAAACTTACAAATATTTATGTATTTTTTTAAGTTTATTAGTATCTGGTTCTATGAACAGCTGAAGTCGAATTGATTGTCTTTGTCAGTGTGAAGAGAGAGCAAGCCAAAGGAACAACTACTAAACAAACAAACATCGGTAACGTAGTAACCGATCAAACAATATGAAAACAAAATCAATAAGTTAACGCAGTTTATGAGCCGGGAAACTGATTCTTTTATTCATTGCCCGTCATGTATGGTGCGTACGAACTGTCAAAAGTCAATATGAATAAGAATTTTTTATCGCTTGCTTAATTGCTTAACAACAATGCTTAATTGCTGGTTATACGCTACGCGCACGCAGTTTCGAGTCTATAGTCCGAATGGTAGCATTGAGCGCACTTTTTTAGTGCCTCAAGTACGAGTGGATCGTTGGACTTGTTGTTTGTCAAAAATCGAAACAAAATTTCTAAAACGATTAGTCGCCGATCAAAATCGAAATATGAGTGAGGAAATAAAACTAAACGAAGTCGATGACTTCTTTGACTTGCATTACTTCGCGTTGAATAAAAAATTTCAAATTTTCTGTGGTTTATGGCCACTAGAAACTGGATATATGAAGTACTTTAAGCAAGGCGCAATGGGTGCGATTATACTCGCCAACTTGATTTTGTTTGTATGTATCACAAACGATTAAAGAGGCAAACGAAATGATTAAAGTATTTTTTGTAGTCTCATGCATTAGGTACATTTTGCGGCACTAACATGGATTATTGCTGCGAAAACATGCTTGGAGTGGTTTACTGCATCACGGGATTCTCCAAATTAGTTGGCATATCGACTACCGGAGGCAAGGTAACTCACAAAAGTTACACCTTCAGGATAAGTGATCGTATGTGATTGATAATATTTTGACAGTTTACAGGAATTTACAAGATGATCGCCAGAAACTGGCGCGAGACAACCGATGAGATTGAATACTCTATACTGGAAAAGTATGCCCGAATCTCGAAAATGTTGACTCGCTTATACATTGGTATGCATTCATTGTATCATCACATGCATGAATGACGATTTTGTAAAAATCATCTTTCCAGTTGCGTTTCTGATGACCGGCGGAGTCGTCACCCAGGCTCCGGCAATTCCCCTTCTACTGAACTACATAATACCGCTGAACGAGTCTCGACAGGCAATACCCATCGTCAACACGGATTACAGCATCACGCCTTATACGAGGTTTGCCCATCTGTGGGTGCATTATTCTTTCACGGCGGTTGCCGTTGCCTGTGTTTTCATTGCCATCGATGCGACCTTCGTGCTCATCGTTTTTCAGATACTCGCGACTTTAGACGTTGTCAAGTGAGTTATGATTCGTTAAAAATTCAAATTTCTAAATGGTCAAATCGTAACGTTAAGAAATCGTTTGTAGGCAGAGAATCCGTCAAGCGAGTTCAGTTGAAAGTGAAAATGCTGAACAGTCATATGGAATTTTGGTAAAGGCTGTGAAATTGCACAAGGATGCTATAGAGTTGAGTTCAGTCGAATGTGCTTTTTCTGCAAAAATAAATATATAAGTAATTCACTGTTTCATAGGTTTTTAAATTTATCCAACGAGGCGAATAGTTTGCAATTTTTGGTCGTACTAGGCGGTACCATTTTTAATATTAGTTTCGGCTCATTAGCGGTGAGTATCGTAAAATATTTAACAAATCACGTTTTAAATAGATAGATGTAAATTAAATGAAATTTATTTACGTCAAATTAATAAATCAGATTTTGTCTCGCGCGGGCGCTTATGCAGATTTTGCTCGAATAGGAATACTTACCTTGGGTTATCTGTTTCAATTATTTGTTTTATGCTTGCTTGGTGAGCTCATCATAAGTTCCAGCTCTGAGTTATTTGTCATTCCGTAAGTAATAGTAATTGAAGATACGTGTGCCGTAAGCAATACTTTATAGCACTGCTTGGCATAATTTCACACTTGTGGCATGCTTTTCGGTGGCATAAGTCGCTCATTCTGGCACCACGTCGTTTGCATCGCACTCCCTACCAGAACCTGCGACTTATGACTTGGAAAAGGGAGCATAATAGTACATTATGCTCCCTTTTCCAAGTCATAAGTCGCAGGTTCTGGTAACGACTGTGATGCAAACGACGTGGTGCCAGAATGAGCGACTTATGCCACCGAAAAGCATGCAACAAATGTGAAATTATGCCAAGCAGTGCTATAAAGTATTGCTTACGGCACATGTATCTTCAATTACTATTACTTACGGAATGACAAATAACTCAGAGCTGGAACTTATGATGAGCTCACCAAGCAAGCATAAAACTAATAATTGAAACAGATAACCCAATTGCAGTATTCCTATTCGAACAAAATCTGCATAAGCGTCCGAGCGAGACAAAATCTGATTTATTAATTTGACGTAAATAAATTTCATTTAATTTACATCTATCTATTTAAAACGTGATTTGTTAAATATTTTACGATACTCACCGCTAATGAGCCGAAACTAATATTAAAAATGGTACCCCCCAGTACGACCAAAAATTGCAAACTATTCGCCTCATTGGATAAAGTTAAAAACCTATGAAAAAGTGAATTATTTATATATTTATTTTTGTAGAAAAAGCACATTCGACTGAACTCAACTCTATAGCATCCTTGTGCAATTTCACAGCCTTTACCAAAATTCCATATGACTGTTCAGAATTTTCATTTTCAACTGAACTCGCTTGACGGATTCTCTGCCTACAAACGATTTCTTAACGTTACGATTTGACCATTTAGAAATTTGAATTTTTAACGACTCATAACTTACTTGACAACTTCGAAAGTCGCGAGAATCTGAAAAACGATGAGCACGAAGGTCGCGTCGATGGCAATGAAAACCGCGGCGATGGCGATCGCCGAAAAAGACCAATGCACCCACTCATGGGCGAACCTCGTATAAGGCGTGATGCTGTAATCCGTGTTGACGATGGGTACTGCCTTTCGAGACTCGTTTAGCGGTATTATGTAGTTCAGTAGAAGGGGAAATGCCGGAGCCTGGGTGACGACTCCACCGGTCATCAGAAACGCAACTGGAAAGATGATTTTTACAAAATCGTCATTCATGCATGTGATGATACAATGAATGCATACCAATGTATAAGCGAGTCAACATTTTCGAGATTCGGGCATACTTTTCCAGTATTGAGTATTCAATCTCATCGGTTGTATCGCGCCAGTTTCTAGCAATAATCTTGTAAATTCCTGTAAACTGTCAAAATATTATCAATCACATACGATCACTTATCCTGAAGGTGCAACCTTTTGTGAGTTACCTTGCCTCCGGCACTCGATATGCCAACTAATTTGAAGAATGACGTTATGCAGTAAACCAGTCCAACCGTGTTTTCGCAGCAGAAATCCAAATTAGTGCCGCAAAATGTACGTAATGCATGAAGCTACAAAATATACCTTTATCATTTCGTTTGCCTCTTTAATCGGTTGTGATACATACAAATAAAATCAAGTTGGCGATTATAATCCCACCCATTGCGCCTTGCTTAAAGTACTTCATATATCCAGTTTCTAGTGGCCACAAACCACAGAAAATTTGAAATTTTTTATTCATCGAAAAGTAATGCAAGTCGAAGAAGTCATCGACTTCGTTTAGTTTTATTTCCTCACTCATGATTCGATTTTGATCGGCGACTAATCGTTTTAGAAATTTTGTTTCGATTTTTGACAAACAACAAGTCCAACGATCCTCTCGTACTTGAGGCACTAAAAAAGTGTGCTCAATGCTACCATTCGGACTATAGACTCGAAACTACGTGCTCGTAGCGTATAACCAGCAATTAAGCATTGTTGTTAAGCAATAAGCAAGCGATAAAAAATTCTTATTCACATTGACTTTTGACAGTTCGTACGCACCATACATGACGGGCAATGAATAAAAGAGTCAGTTTCCCGGCTTATAAACTGCGTTAACTTATTGATTTTATTTTCATATTGTTCGATCGGTTACTACGTTACCGATGTTTGTTTGTTTTGTTCCTTTGGCTTGCTCTCTCTTCACACTGAGAGAGACAATCACTTCGGCTTGAACTGTTCATAAAACCACAGACTAAAAAACTTAAAAAATACATAAATATTTGTGAGTTCGAATCTCCACTGTGCTACGCAGTATCTACCAAATTTTCTAGCCATTGCAGCTTTTTAAAAATGTCACACTATCATGCACTCGAAAACGTTCAGCATCAGACTCTTTCGTAGTGCAATATTTTTCTGTTTAATGTTTCATGAATCCATCACTTTTCCGTGTATAAAACTTCTCGTTTGCCAAAGGTGAACTTCTGTTGGTTCAATTTCAAATTCGCTTCTTTGAGCGTGGTGAAAAGCTGCCACAGGTGTATGAGGTGTTCTTCATGCGACGATGATGCGACGAAAATGTCGCCTATGTATGCCTTGGCGAACTGTAGGTTTCGCAAGATGTGGTTCATTGTGCGTTGCATGGATTGCGCAGAATTACTCAGGCCGAGAGAAGTTCCGAGAAATTCGAATGGGCCAAAGGGAGTTTTGACGGCAGTTTTTTCAATGTCCTCTTCGGCGTCTGGGATTTGATAGAACGCTTTTTGGAGATCCACAGTTGAGAAGACGTTTCCGGGACTCTCTTGTAGCAGGTCTTCTATTGTCTGGCACAGTACATGCGTTTAATCTCCGATAATCGCCTGTGACATACCAGGTTGAATTGCTTTTGTAGCCTACGCAGAGATTCTCTCATGTGCACATTGTTTTTATGAGCCCATTGCCTCTCGTAAGCTCTTACAGGTATTGTTTTATAATGATTGACCGCTTCATGCATTAGCTAGAGGTATATCCTTTGAAAGATTCTTCGAAAGAATCTGTTTGCAATGGTTTTTTACATGCTTGGATTTCACGTTTTGGTTGTCCGGACATTTTGACAATAGATAGAGAAGGTCAATTTACATTTCACATGTTTGCAGATTTTGCGAAGCTTTTCGGCATCAAGCTTGTGACGGTTGCGTTACGCCGTCACAGCTCTCTCGCCACCTCAGCCAGACTATTGTGAAAAATATCATTTGACTTATGTTTTTCCACGCAGCAGTGGCAGCGAGACGCATGTGTGTGCGAGTATGTGTGAGTGAGGATACGGCATGTCGCGAACCGCATGATGCAATAGAATATTTTGGAGCAAGGGTGACGAATTGGTCACGTGATCGATTCACTCCTGCGAGCCGCGCGACTGTGAGCATCGAGGCGAGATCGTTTTCGGACGCTGAAACGACCACATCGACGTGGTCCCGAAATCGCGAGAAGTCGCGTCGGGCCTAAGTTGATCGCGCCGTACGTCGCAAGTGCGTGTACCCTGAGGCACGACCCGCACTAACGTGAACGAGTAGCGCCGAATGTCGCGGGTGCGTGCGGTACGGACGACTTGGACTCGCGTGTACGCCTTCGGACGGGCTTGATTGTCGGGACACGTGAAGCGGTGTTGCGTTCCGGATCTCCACGTGGTTCATTTGTACGCGGCAACGGATTGCCGCCCGATTGTGCGTATCGCGTGCGTGAGTGCAGCAGCACCAACAGGTCAAGGGGCCATCCTTGACCAAGGCGACGACAAGTGGCCAGCGACGGCCACTTGTAGCTCATGTTCTCTTATAGCTCATCACAACGGTAATTGGTTCGAAGCTCTTCCGTTGGTTCTCCTTGGCATCTGATCAGCTTTTAAAGAAGACATATCATCAACTTCCAGAAAGCTGGTTTATGGCGAGACTTTGTGTTTACCCGACGAACTGTTCAAAAGCTCAACCTTTGCACCTTTAACGGATTTTACAATTTATCCGATTTATTGCATCGCTTGCGGTTAATTTTCGAACATTTATAGCCTCAGCCCGCTTCGAGACATTGCAAGCCCAACGTATTTGATTATAATGAGCTTCAGCATTGCAAATATGTTTTCTTACGAGACGATTGCAATTTCAAGGCATTGGTTTCTACTCCATATACGGTGGCCTTTATGAAGTGTTACATCGCACCGACAAGACACGATGGTTCTCAAGATTCGTGGAAAACCTGTGTATGTGTCCATTGACCGCGTCAAGCCGGCATTCATTTTGAACGATCTCACTAATCACGTTTCTCGAGTGATTATTAATGATGTTAAAAAGTCATCGAGTAATTTACGCCCTGTACTTTGTTTTAATTTATCACCCTCTAATTAATATTCTTTTATGTTACTGCGTAGGGGGGTGGTGTGGCGGCTCTGTTCATGTGGTGCGTCATTTTAGTTATCATTTTCAATTGTTATTTTTATTAAACAATCAAAAATGTATGTTGGTTAGTCAGTCGAGTTTCAAACGTCGAAGAGCTCAGGTCAATAAATAAAATTAACCAAGCTCAAATAACCGTCTTAATTATTTATAGTATTAAGCCGCTTCATGCAAAATAAAAAATTTAAAAGAAATAGAAATAACTACTTTTTTAAGCTCATCAAAGTAATAAAATGATTGTTTTCATTTTCGGTCCTTTGTCGTCATTATAATTTTTTTCATACCAGCGGCCAGAAAGTGACTACTTCTCGGCCGCTGCGCAAAACGAGAAGAGCTGTTTTTGGGCCACTGTGTATAAAAAATAGTATACAGGCCTATGCCGCGAAAAGAGAAAGCCCCAGAGCACGTGTTTATCGGCCTCGGCTTCGCCGCGGCCTAGGGCAGTAATATACTATGAAATTTTTAAAATGAATTTTTGTTACTATTAATAATGAATTATTGTTGATGAGGACAAAAATATATCGGGTTTAATTAACTTAACCAAGTTTTTTCATTTATTTATCATATTTTGAGATTTACATTACTCGATTAACGATTATACAGACGTGTATACAATATAGTATTTTACATCAGGACTTTGATTTATTTTATTTTTATTTTTTGCTCATTCACGTATTAACTTAAATGTACTTGAGATAATTCTTATATACAAGTTAGCAAAATTATCATACGCATCATCCTTCTCAAGCGCGCAATATTAATCACACGAGTATATATAATTCTTTACGTATGTATATTATTATTATATATGCGTATATATTTTTACACGTATATGTAAGAATACGTTTAACGAATAACCATCACGCCTGAATCGAAAACATGCGAGATTTTTTATTTATGCTCCTGATATTTCTGCTTCAAAATATTTTGTCAAGCTCGGCTTCGCTAAACCTTCCGTACCCATTCATAGTTCATATCATTGTGTGTACATAACATGTATGAACGTTATCACTTTATCTGCGGTTTAAACTGAAAACAAAGTAATAAGTAAATACGCACTCGAAGAGTTTTTTAACTGTAAATTTCATTATTGTATTGTCGTTTAGACAGAACAAGTTTTAAGGTGTTGATTACTTTTGTAAGAGTTTCAGGATAAATCAAAATTTTTAATAAGCGACTAAACTTGAATTCATTCTAACAATGATCTATAATTTACTGGCTTGTAATTGAAACTATCCAGTTAATAAAATCACAAATACATACCACCTAAAGTTTCAAGTATTATTTCTAATGGAAAATAAATTTTTGACGTTTCATATTGATTCCAGTACTTCAATTGACCTTACGCTCTCGTGTATAATGCAAACATACTTTTAGATTGATTCGGAAAAAATCTTTTAACGCTCATGAGTGGATAATAATTTGTAGCAGAACACCCTGAATGATATTACACAGATTTTAAATAATCTTAGAATTATTTCTCACTCGCCATCTCTCTCTCTCTCTCTCTCTCTCTCTCTCGCACACTTGCCACATAGAAAGAGGTAAGTGTTAAAATATTTTTATTATATACACGAACATCGTGTATTTCATAATTAGTATAAAAATCTCATGAAAAATTCAAAACCCTGCTAACAAGAAATTTTTTCTAGAATTTTAATAAAAATGTCACATGATGCATACATTTAAACAGTTTTCTCAATTATCTACTCAGGACACGTACATGCAAGATACACCATTAGGATTTTATTATAGATATTAGAAAATGTTATGATAGATACAGCTTTGGTAAAAAACAATGAGCATATATTAGTGTATTAATTTAGTTTCTAAATATATTTATAATGATTTTTATTTATGATTTTTGGCTAAATTTCTAATGATAGCGATAACTTTTGATATTTACAAAAAATACATAACTTAATTTTTAAACACTTTGCTGTTATCAATATCAGCTCGGTCGAACACATAATTTTGGACAATTTTCCAAAATACGATGAAATATAATTTGGGACCATAGTTTTTCATATCATCACCCCGATTATATTTTTTTTTTATTACCGGTTAAATCAAAAAATAATAGGCATGTATTTAATTTCACTTATGTTAATTGATCATCACCCACGTAAAACCAAATGAACAAATCCTATTTTCACATTCATACGTATTACATTTATGTACATTAATTTAGAGATTCTTACTCAGAGGTCTGGAGATTTCTCAACCATCTGAAAAACACACATAATTACTTTTACAATGGTACTCACGCACTTATCTTTTTATTATCAAAAAGTTTCGAATACATTAAATGCAGATGTGTACACTGGTACTTTTATTTCATCTCACCAAGGAGAGTGATGTAACTTTAATGTACATTAAGATTGCTTATACTTGTCCACAAAGAAATAGGAAATAAAAGTAGTAATAATGAGAAAAAATAAAAAAACAAAATTCATGACAAGTAACTTTACCCGTATTTGCTTTAAAAAAATCGATGAATAATTTCAGATGCACTAGTCGGTAGCCAAATATCTAACACTCTTACACATTAAGGTATCCCTTATTTTTCAAAGTTGATTTTTTAGCAGAGTACATTTTTTGCATAAAATACCATGACCAGAGAGTTTTCAACTTTGAAAAATGTCAAGTTGTGAAACCAGAGCAAAAAATTCATTTCAGGAAACCGTAAAAAGTTGCTTAATATACTAGTTTGATAAGTTGGATACATTAAAGAAGCTTCTCAATGCCCAAAAATATTGCTTTACTGCTTTGAATATCGAAAAACAAACGAATATAAGATTTTTGTAGTCTTTTTTATTTTTATTGTTTTTCCTATTTTATGCATAGTAATCGTATTACGACTTTTACCAGAATTTTATAATAAGAGGTCAATATTTTCATGTTTATTCGATTTTTTTATTAATAAAAACATTATTTTTTTATCAAAAAGCGCTTTTGGACGTATTAAATTTTTACACTAGCATATCATCCAGTGCTGGTAACAAAATGATGCTGCATTCATCGAAAAACTAGTTTTTATTCTAGAAAACATACTTTGATTTGGTTGCACGGGTTAAGTTTTTTCAAAGTTTTAACTGCTCTGGAGATAATTTTTCATGATATACTAACCATATTAGATATCTTTTTCAAAAACTCAATTTTGAAAAATAACACATTAGACATTTAATGTATAGACATACTACTATACAAAAACACCTATTATTAAAAATTGCTTTATAATAGTGTGAAAAGTTATTCTTTTACCATAAAAAGAAAGGAGCCTAAAGCGGATCACTGACAAACAAGTTTTTCCACCCCAACCAGCGAAAAAATGCTGTTTTTTACTCATTTTCACAATTTTCCGTCTTTTAACCGCGTTTTGAGCGAATATATTAATAATCACCTATCTAATTTTTTTACCCATTGGAAGGGCAGAAAAATGTGTTACAGAACAAAAGTTTATGGGTCAAGAGTCAAAATTTGGCTCTGGATATTCTTCCGGACGTATTTTAGGCCATTTTTTAAAAGAAATTTACTTTATTTTACTCTTAACATTGATTAGCTGATCATTAGCTGATTAGATGATCATAGTCATTTTTTGACTAAATCGTATTCGGGAGCCATGAATCTCTTTGTTAAAGCGAGTTAAAGCGGCGAAGATTTAATATGGTCTCAAAAAATTCTGCACGAGGTAAACATTAGGCATCTTTAAACTAAAAAAAATCAAATCAAAATAACTTTTTATATGGCTATAACTCCTAACTATATAACTCCTAAATATTTACAGAATCAATTCTATTTCATCTAATTTTACACAAAAAGACAAAGATTTCCCTTTTTTATTCGTCTCAATAAGACTATTAGAACCGAATATAATATTAGTGAAAAATAGTGGTCATTGAATGATATATTGTTGAGGCAGTCCGAGCTTTGCGTATGGACCTTGCGTTTAACCCCGCAAAAAAATACACTCAAAATAAAGGGATTCGTTGCTCCCGAATCCGATTTAGTAAACAAATACTAATCAATCGATGGCAGCTAATCAAAATTAAGACTAAAAAAAGGAAAAATCTTTAAAAAATGGCTTAACGCTAACGCCCAGAGGAATAGACAGAGCCAAATTTGGACTCCTGACCCACAAACTCTTCTTGTTTAACATATTTAAATTGAAATTTTAAAAGAGTAAAATACAGCATTTTTTCGTTGGTCAGGTTGAAAAACCTAATTGTCAGTGATCAGCTTTAGGCTACCTTCTTTTTATGTCAAAAGAATAACTTTTCATACTATTACAAAGCGATTTTAAAAAATAGGGGTTTTTTGCTGCACCCTACGATACCTGTACACAAAAAATATTTCGTTTTTCTTACATATTTCCGATCAAGATCTTGCGTCTTTCTTCTTCTTTGTTTTTCGGGATTCGATACAAGTTTTTAACTTTATTTGATAAATAAATCATTTGAGAGTACCTTTTTTTTTATAAATCACTGTAGAGATGACTTTCCTCAGATTAAAATATACATGACATATACAAAATAATTTAAACATAATAATGAGTGATTTCTTAATACTTAATAATAAGGCATTAAAATCTATGCCTGTACCTGTGAACTAAAAGTACTCATTCACTCTATTAATTTTCAATTAAAAAATTTTAAAGTCAAAATGATAAGAAAAAAAGCAGGACCGTAAGCGCTTGATTAATTTACATTTCGGTATTTTCTTCATCAAGCTCCTCATCGAGTTCGGGAAGAGTATAGACCGCAGGTGGAGGAACCGGACGTAGATGGTCCTCTAAATTAAGTATTGGCTTACAATCGCGAGTTACATCCACCTGGTTGAATGAGTCTTTTAATATATTGATCTCATTTTCAAACATGCCTGGAGGATCATTTAAGCAGATGTTCTCCTCGGTAATAATGCTACGCTGCTGCTGAAGTTGTTGTTGCTGCTGTTGAGATGCACTCCAGCCGTAATGATTAGTGGCAGGAAATTGTCACGAGTTAATAGCGTAGGGGTCGTGGGCGGCTGACATTTCATCTTGAACACTAATAGTGCTCGACTTGACAGGGTCACTATTGTTACCGATGGTTCCTCTGGCACTGCCGGCAACGCTACTCAGCTTATCGTGCTGATGTGATAACCGGTGTACAATTTCATCGTGCAGTATGTTGAAGCACATGGCTGTGAGTGCCATTCCCCACATTATATAGCAAGAGCAGAACCACACAGTTGCATTGCGCTCTTGGCTGTTTTTTTTCGGCAGAATCGGATAAGAGCCTGGTACCAATTCACCGAAACCGATCGTGCTCAAGCTCATAAAACAAAAGTAGCTTGCATCTGCAAAATATTTTTAATTCTATGTTAATTCGTTATCTTTTATTCAATCTTGAAGATCTTAATAAATATATCAACCTTTAAATACCAAAAATTTGTCTGCTAAAAAATGATTTTTTATTTATACCAACATTCATGTCTAATTCTCAAATGCTTGAGGTATCGACTATCCCCGGTATTTAACGGTTAAAAACTTATAGTACTTAAACTTAAAAAAAGTTCATTTGAATCGTATCCACTTGTGATTTATATTAAGATATTATGAAAGAAAAAAATGTTTAATGATTGAAATATTTTTTTCACAAAATGTTTCAACTGCGTATAAATTGTGTATATTTTTTCAAGAAAACTTTATTTCCGAGACTGCGTAGCTACGATTATATTATATGTTACAGTAGAAATAATAATTAAGAAATTAATTAAGGGGACCGACCTGTGTTAAAAGCTTAAATTCAAAAAATAGCTATATAAATCGAAAGTGGAAATTTTTTTTGTGATAGTAAAATATGTTCATCTATTTTTTCATAATACTAAATATTATAATTGGATTTACTTGTCCCGCGATTCTGACGTGAGCTCTTCATCAATATTGATCTATGGGGTCTCAAAATCTTCAGAAAAGTACCCTCATCCACTTGAGAGGAGCAGAATTTGAGAAAAAAAGTTTGTTTCTTTTCCAAGAGCTTAAATATAGCATTTAAAATTGGCACATTTTGACGTGTATATAAAGTTGTACGCAATTTTTCAAAATTCTGCTCCGCTTAGGTGGATAAGGGTACTTTTCTGAAGATTTTGAGACCCCCTAGATCAATATTGATGAAAAACTCTTTTCAAGATCATGCGGCAAGTGATTTATAACACAACATTTCGTCTTATGAAAAAAGTGATGAAATAGGTATTTCAGAGCTTGGGTAGAAGTTTTTTTTTGTCAATCAGGTGTCTAATGAATATATTTTATTATCAGATAAAAAAAATGTCCACTATTTCGATTTATACAGCTATTTTTAGCTGAAGCTGAATTTAAGCTTTCAACACAGGTCGGTCCCCTTAATGTAATAACAAATAATTGAGTCTCACGTTATCTTAAAGAAGAATTTATTATCTTGTGATATATTTATTTGATCAGCAATGAAAAATAAAATTTGCTGAAAAAGTTTCCATGTAATTTTAAAGAAGTTTTATATCTAACCGATTTTTTAAAATAGTTTCATAATAACATTTTACAATATTAGCTAATTCGAAAGAATCAAACATGTATGTTTTTTGGAATTTCATCAGATTTTCTCTTTTTTAAACGGTTTCAATTTTATGCATGTAATTTTTGACAAAAAATGTAATTATTTCTTATTTTACTTTACATAAATAATATCTTGATTGCAGCTAATTTAACCTTTATAAAAAATCTTACCCACGAAAGACCAGCCTTCGAGTTTATGGAGCGTGAAAGCACCGGCGGCAATGTACAGAAACATAGCGCCGAGACAAATACTAATAGGTGCCAGTATGGTGACATTAGGTCGGTCACCAGAGCTTAGACTTAATACCTCATCTTTGGGACTGGTTTTAATTTCTACCGAACTTGGATACTGCGACGCATTGGCTCTCACGTAAAAGGGTTCTTGCAACTGCAGTTGCTGCTCTTCTTGCTGACGCCTTTTCCTCATTCGGCGTTCTTTTTCCTGTAAATGCGAATTATCAGCGACATAGCAATTTCAATGCAACAAACATAAAATTAAAAAAATAATATAGGTAAGTTGGAATTTAACACATACTAAACTCACCTCCATTCGCCTCTCATCATAACAACAGTACCCGCAATTTGAACAAAGGCAGCAGCACAGGGCCCGCGTGAATACACCACGAGCGCATCGGGAAAGTAGACCCCCAGCTGACGAAAGATAAATCAATGTCAAAGGTATGCCAACGAATGCGTAGCCCATGGTTACAAGCTTTCCAACCGATGAACGTGGAGCTATGCTACCGTAACCTGTAAACAGTTATTATTTCAATGTAAACATCAAATGAAATTATTTCTAAAGTTAAAATTATAAATCAATATTGCAAGGCTCGAGACTGATTCAAGTATTCATAGATAATTAATTAAAAAGCAAAAACAGAAAAACGATAATTTATTTTTAATTGTTTGTAGTTCGAAAAAAATACAAACGTGGGTCCATTAAAGGGAAAATTAGGAGCTACTATGTCTTAAAATTTCACTGAAAAACCATGTGAACAGTGAAATAATTAGGGAGATCTGCAAATAGCCTGAGCGGTCAAGTTTTGGATATAAATATTTATTCCTAACACTCTTCAAAAAATTAAAATAGTATGATGCGTATATTATGATGCGTGTTACTTAAACATGTCCACTGTTGTACGGTGAAGTAACCTCTCGCGCGACTTAAGTATTGTATTTTATTATTGTACACTAGTATCTTAAGCTATTTTATAGCCCTATAACCTAAAAATCGCAACTTTGCCACTAGTTTTGGAATATTGTATGCAACTTGTGCTACAAAGCTTTTTCAGCAAGAAAGAAATCCCACACCCGTGGGGTAATGTATTATTATAGCACTATACTAAAAGGGTCCTCTTTGCTCATTGTTGCATCAAAGCGTATCCATCACATTCACCGAACTGGTTTTCTAAACTCGTGCCATAACGTTATTACAATTAACTCACACATGTTATTAATTAAAGCTTATACAATTAATACACTTGGCAACATTAACGTTTCAACACATTTATTTCAAAGAATTTATCTTATAGCGTGATGTCAGCTGCATAATTTACGTTAATATATTATTACGAGGATAGGACATCTATGTTGCACCAGAGATGGCACATCATCCTCGCGAGATGGGTAATTACGGAGAGCGAGAGCGATAAAGTGAGAGGACAGTACAGTTTGCTTCTGATGCCTAGCGAATCACTTCTTGGTACGAAATTACTTATAGATTGTAGCCCGCTGTAATCACGTGACAATTATGAACAAATGCCACTGTTGAATTGGATTTGATTTTATTTCTTTCGAATTTAAGAAGCACAGTAATTGTGAGCGAATGTGTGCACACCCTGTGATATAACGTCCTGGGTGTGGGCAGCGAGAATCACAGTCGGAGGTAACCATGTTGTAAGTGCCAATTTCGCATTATCGACTTTCTCTCGCGCATTGCCGACTCGCATTCACCAGTTTTGGGCGAATATTGCTTTCCTGAGCACGGCTGTATCAACCAACTCAATTAATAATTGTAATTGATTTATTGTAATTATTCTCACACCTATCATTTTGTTTGCCTGTGCACTCTTTTTCACTCCTTAGAAATCTTGGACCCGGCTCTACCCGGAACCACAAAATTTTTTATAATTCACGCAACATTTATCGTTACACTATATCGGTATATTATCTTAATAAAGCCGAATTCCCAAGAAAAATTTTCCTGCAAAAATTAGAAACATTACAAAAGAGCTTTTTTTGTGGATATCATCCGAATTTTGGAGAAATAAAAATTGCAGAGTGCTCTGGATCGTTTAGAATTTTCTTTTTACAAATAAAACATGAAAGTGAAAATCGAATCGAAGCCAACTATGACCTTCATCTACAAAACAATTACAGAAAAATGCTATCATATACCATATGCCAAATCATATGCCATTAATATGTTTCTTTTTTTTAAAATGTACTGTTCACTTTCAAATAAGCAGATTGCATCTCATACTGTAAGAAAAATGCGGTAATGAAGGACCGACCGACACTTATATTCATACTTTTACACTGAAGCACAATTAAAAAAAAGATTGTTGATCGAGTTTTGTACGTATGCACAGGAACTGGTGTGAAAACGCAGAATTGGAAATATCTTATTTAAAACTGTTATTGGTGCACATTGAAGCTCATAAAAGCAGCTACAATCCTGATTATCATTATTAAAGCAATTGCAGGTAACCGAAGAACGTTGTTAGTATAATAAATTTGTTAAACCGCACGTGAAATTATCAGAATACGTGAAACTCCTTTCCAACATCTCATTTATATATGTGAATGGTTGACAAAACATGAAACTGATTAGATCAAAATAAAACTAATTGCAATCAGTTCTCACTCATTCTGAGAGTTTATTAAAACTAATGCAGAATTTGCTGTTATCATTTCTTTGTTTAACTCTTCATTCTGCATTAACAAATTGTTGACAATAATAGTACTTATAGTAGTAGTGAATAATAGTACTCTTCTCGCTTAAAATTTTTCTTTCAACAATTTTAAGTAGTTGCTGGATATATCCGTTTAGATCTGAATGAAAACTGACATCAAAGATGAAAGTGGCTCAAATGTGTTTTTATTTGATCATGTCGCAATATATTATACATTATATACATTATACTTTAAGGTTTCAAAAAACGGTCACTTATATATGTATATTCGTAATTAAAATTTTCTTGATTCATAAACATTTTCTTTTAGAGCTTCCACGTAGTTAGATTTTGCATGATTTATAGAATTATCACTAGCTCACAGTAGGTGAAGCGTACGCAACAGAGCGAAAGTTTGTTTTCTACATCATTGGCTTTAATGTTAAATATAATAAACGCACGATTAAGCAGACTATCAAGCTGAAGATTCATAAAAAACTAGTTTTACTTTGAGAGTCTGTGTGATAAATCAGTGGTGTAAGTCTACGGCTGCGTCAGGCGGCAGTGCATTCATGCAGACAAGTACGAGATAAGAAGTCAAGAAGACTTACTTTTACACTTGTTTTCTATCTTGTAAACGAAGTAATTTATCAGTTACTGAGACCATGTTATGAATCGTTGAGAAATGTCTGAATACAAAGATTACATTTGTATTTACAGAGATAAGAAGTAAAAAAAAACGTATCCATTTTGAAAAAAAGGTTCCTACCTTCTAATACGAGGTTGGTCATGTTTATTTTCGATTCATTCCTAAAGTATATTTTATATAATTTATATATTTATTAAATTCGTTCGCTTATTCTTGTAACTCTTGATAAGGTATCTGTAGTATTATGTACAATTTGAGATGTAAAATCGGGACAAAGGTTGAGTACAAATTAATACATGTAACACTGTATCCGATTTTTTTCTTATCCGATCATGTTGGAAAAGTATGGGGAGCTTTCATGAACAAGAAGATACTCTTGGTTTTAAACGCAAATTACCACCATAAAAAATACAGTACATTTTATTTGAGTTCGTTTATGCTGAATTTATATTTAAATCACTTTCGAGATAAATTAATACATAAAAATGTCTCTTCTTGCGAGGTAGAGATTGATGAAAAAAAATGGAATGAAACCTTGAACGGAGTGGTACAAATGTAGATGAGAATGTGTCTCAGAAAATTCAGTTATTTACGTAAACATCGGGTTTCGGAGATTAAATATACAAACACAAGAAACTTTCGAGCGATTTTACTAACTTTATACGAGCCGCAATAATTAAATTCTGATCCCGGAATCGAAGCGAATATAAATAAGTTAGGAAAGGAGTTTGCGCAGCGCAAGGCTATTTTATAGGAAGTATTAATTTTTATGGTAATTGGACTTACTCCTCTTCTTCCTTTTTTTACTCAGCCTCTTGATGTAATCCATGTCTACTCTTGCTAGTCGCTCTATTTTTTTACATACTCGTTTTTCAAGTGCTCGTGATACAGCCATTCAATATAATACTTTAGCGATTGTCTGTACTATGATTGGGACTGTGCTACTTCTACAATGCCATTACGAGCACTTTTTTATAAATATTTTTCCTAGCGAAGTATTTTTTTCATCTTGTTTAAAGCTTTTGCCGATAATACTAGACACGATTTAATACAACTGAGATAAATTTCAATCGATTCATAGAATTTTGTAGTACAGCGAATCGTAAGTTTTATTTAATGAACATTTTTACATATAACGTATAGATATTGTAATTAGTTTGAAAATCTTTTGATTGTAATGATGTTTCGTAATAATTGTCACGATTAAAATACATTCATGTTTTTTATTTTAAATCCCTTTACTTTTCGAAACAAAATTACTGAGACGTATACTACATGGATAACTCACGGGTGAATTGTTGTTTAATGAGTAAAGAACAATCATATTTTTGTTGCGAGCATCAATAGGTGGTTCGGATCTTTGTATTCGATTTCAAAATTATATCTTCCAAGTGTTTAGTACCCAAGTAACCAATCGATTTTTGAATCTAGCGGAAATTCGACTCCTAAAAACCGCAGCACATAAAGTACTAAAATGGCTCATAATTGCAAAGAGACACTTAATGATAGAAGTTGGTCTAGTTCAAGGGAATTCAATAATGTACTGCTTTAGCATTTCTACCCTTTGATCTATAATTGTCCCATCAAGACTAACGTGTATTTATTTATATTTATGCGAATAATGGTCTTGGCGAAATAATCTGACCTTAATCAAAACTCTCGAACCTGAGGTTTGAGTGCGTACGTTGTTTTCGAATGATAATTTTGATAAATACAAATCCAAAATTAACAGACATTTTCACGGGAGCGCGTCAATTCTCCCCCCACGTCATGTCTACCTTTGATAGCTCAGTGCGACTACTCGCCCTTGACAGCTCGACCTGGCGACATCTCGACTTCAAAAAAATTTAATTTTCGTTGGCGATCGATATTACTTGTATCAGTATTAAGTAACATTACTTTGTTGCTAATCTTCCATTATTAATAAAATTGTTGTTTACATCTACTTATTTTTGTTTTTCTTTTAATGTCGACTTGTCGCGGCGTCAAGTTGTCAAGGGCGAATTGTCTCGTGTCAAGTTGTCATACGAGTTGACGTGAGGGCGAAAACGCATAGACCCAGCAACGGAGACTGTAATTATGATTAATTATTTAATCTATCGATATGCTTCATTTTTTTTGTTATACTCATTGTCATTTTTCTTAAAGACACCGAACGTTACGTCTGAAAAATTTTGATTATTGTAAATTAGTATATAGATTATACTTATGTATCCCTGAGAAAGAAGTAAAGAAAAAAAATAACAATTCCATGATACTTATTGAAGTTTCTTTTCTCTGATTATTCCTTTTCGTAGTGTCTTCAAGAATTTTCTCTCTTCTTCTTATGCAGTTCCGAATTAAAAATTATTTTTTCCTAAGTAGGCGCAAAATGCAGTGCAGTTTTCGGTCACAATTTTAATAATTTTTATACTAGGAGTAAAATTAAGCATGTTTTTTGCCCAAATCCATAAAATAATATATTCTGCAATGGGCGTGGATATGCTTTTTATACAAATCGAGTGAATGCAGCACAAGCTGAAGGTGAATGCTGTACTGAGTTTTGCGGAAAAAGCTTATTCATACAAGTTGCATGCATACCTTATAGTATCATTGCGATACAAAGGTGCGATTTTTAAGTTAGAATGGTATAAAATAGTATACCCACATATAAAGCGAAAAAAGGGAAGTCTTAGGGCAAATTTTTAATTTAAAGACCGCGTCAACGGCCTCAACACTTGCTACCGAATTTTGTAACCTACCGAAAAAGTATTTATAAAAAATTGAATTAATAATTTTTTAACATTCAAATGAAAAGAATATCTTAAAAATTGGAGTAAATCTAAAATATGAAGTTAGCTTTTTATGGACAGCCATCAGAATTGAAACTTCTTTCAATTTAATTGATTGAAAACATCGAAATATGTTGAATAAAATTCCAGAAAGAAAATTCAACTTAGGAAAAGTACTCTGAAGTTTCACTTCTGCTGCTTTCATATAAATAGATAGATTTCAGATAATCTAAACACTAAAAGTGAGACTTCAAAGTCTTTTTCCTTGGTTGAATTTTTTTCTGTAATTTTTAATACATATTGAACGCTAATTCAAATTCGGAAACTAGATAGCGTGTTATGCATGGAGTACTAGTTCTTATGTTCTTGATAAACGTGAGCTACCCTGAAAAAAATCTTAGAGACTATTCCAAGTGCACGGATGGATCAGAAAAAGATATTTTGCTGCCACAGCAAAATTATTGGTCTATATTTCAAGGCTAAATTTCGCTAATTTTTTTATTCTGGCAGCAAAATATCTTTTTCGGATCCAGTTGTCCACTTTTGTTGAGAAGGACTCTTAAAATTTTTTTCAGTATAGTCATGCAGCAGATCGATTATTTAATAGTTGTAGTAATCACATGTAAACTATTATGAATTATTTTGTTCACGGATAGGTATGATGAGTATTGAGGAGGTTCCCGAGCAAACTTTGCGAAAAAAATTGATATAACATCGATTGATTTTGATCTTTCTATTCCAATGGCATGACTCTTATATACCTAAACCAACCAAAATCTCGAAAAAAATGTAACTAAATTTTCCTAAAATTTACACGGGTTTGCATGGAAATGCATACAAATTTGAACTATTTTTATAATTTATCGAAAAAAATCAAAGTTCTTCCCAGGAATGATAATAAACAAATAAAAACCAAACTTTTCTCTCTTCTGAAGGTTTCTCAAAAGTCGGTCAATCAGTCTTTCTTTCAATATTTTTGGATTGTAAGACGCGAAAACGACACTTTTTCGGCTATTTTTTTTTAGAATTAGCAGACGACAAACCAGCTAAATTAACCCATGACTTAACTGCTCGAACACTCAATCGACTAATGTGTTACTCACGGAAACGTCTTTAATTGTGTTCGACATCTACGTGAAAAAATGTCCGACTTGGACTATTCGCTTCTATAACGTTTTAATCGCAAAGTCTTAATTCATCGCCGTCGATTGGATTGCTTTCATTTCTTATATCTATATACTTTTTCCAACGGTACTTGTCAAACAGAAGGGATCAGGTTGCTCGAAAACTAGACATTATTAGACATCGAAAATTTGAATTTAAATACGTGTGCAAACTGATACAAACGAGCTTGTACACGATAGTAGGAGAAAATCGTACAGAAAGGAAAGGAAAACTTTGTCGTGCATAGAAGTGAAGGGTAAAGCAGACAAGGTGGAGAGAAGAGGTGAACTAGGTGATAGGAGCGGAAGATAGATAACGCCAAAGTAACAGAATGGTATTTAGTTTGTTTAACAATAAAGGTCTATGAGCAGCTGAAACATGAGGCTCACGAAACCAAATTCCAAGCTGTAAAGAGCAGCTACATTTAACAGACGCAAAGAGAGAGAGAGAGAGAAAGAGAGAGAGAAATTAGTCAGCTAAATAGATATGAATGCTGTAGTTACGATTCGATTTTAGAAACTAGCACACTGAACATTTTGAAGATGAAAAAGTAGCGCTCATAGTCTTGAAAATTTTGTGATAACGACTGATGGAACTAGTGATTGAAAAAAAACTAATTTCTTTGCTCAAGAGATACCTTGATTTTGCTTGGCACAAAAAATAAATTCTAAGATTGAAAAATTAACACGCTCTTATATGCGTAAAGGCTTACGATGATCTTAAATCCAATCAAAGTTCGGGAATAGTTATATGCAATAGATAAACACAGTTTTTTCTTTCTTAGGGTGAATCTCATGGGTATCTAGTAATTTTCTCATTATTATAGATTTGAAAGACTTTATGCGCCCTTTTTATCATTTAGTTCGTAAAATGACAAGTCTCACTAAGCATAAAAATTTGTAAAACTCACCAATTGTTGTGAGAACAGTCAGCGAGTAAAGAAAAGCCCGAGCGAAATTCCACTCGTATTTGACTATTTTTTCACCGATGACATCGTCACTGTTGCCACTGGTGCCTGCATGCATGGGTGGTATTTGCTCCCCTAAACTGTCCGTCAACGTTCTTACCACCTGCTCTTGAAAGCGAGTCAATTCTTCGTTTGCTAGTCTCGTCCAATTTTCACGGTATAATATGTTTAATTTTTCTGTCGTGATCCATAAATTTTCAACAGTCAAAGTTCTTGCTGCGTTTATCTGAAAAAGTCAAAATCAAAAATAATGCAATGAAAAATAATTATATACAGTAACGTTTTATATCAACGTAATTTCAAAGAATAAAATTATCTTAAATAGAAACTTTATCTTCCATTACGAATAGGATATTTTTAGTAGTCGAATAGGACACCATAGCGCCTATCAATAAAATATTGAGTGAAAATTCATAAACATTTTTAAGAAAATGGTCTCCTATGGTATTCATAGAATATTTACCGGTGACCAAAAAGTCACCAACTTTAAAGCGAACAATTTAAGCGAAATGCCGTGCATTCGATAAAAATTTAAAGAAATATCGAAAAAGAATTTGAATGAACTTACCCGGTTAAGCCAAGTGGAGTTTTTTATATTAACTCTGCCAGAGCCTGGAATGGTCGCTGCTAGCATCTGATGGTCGGGAGATTCCTCGGAACGCTCCAGATACAAGAAGATGAAACTACCAACTAAAGTATAAAGTACTAGCAGTGCACAAATGGCGAGGTTAATGAGGAAGCCTTTGAGGAATGAGTGCCGACTGGCTTTGTCAGGAGCGCCACCGAAGCAAAGGCAACGAACCTGGCCAGTCTGCATCTGCACGGCTTTGCAACTGGGCACGTGATCGATTCCAGGACCCGCCGTAACATTATTCGGACGTTTGAGCGAAGACGTGTTTCCATTATTGGCGTTCTTGAGACCCTCGTAAGCTCTGTAGCAGCCGGCAACCCGGGGATTGCCAGAAGCGTCTTTATCCATGGCCACAGCGATGGCACAGCCGGGCTCGTGCTGAACCACTTCCTGATGCACCTCTTCCTCTTCCTGGTAAGGGCTGTGCTGCTGACAATTTTGGCTAGGTCTGAATCCGTCCTCCTCTTCTTCTTCTTCTTCTTGCTGTTGATGAGCAGAGGGTGTGCGTTGCTCGTAAGGATCGACCACAAAGTAAGTGGAAAAGCAGACGTCGCACGAGTCTGAGCTTGACTGGGCCAATTCAACGGGATGCTCGCGGAACGTGACTCGCTTTTCGCCGTGTCTCTGCAGCTTGTTACTAGTTGTAGTTTGTATATGATGTTGATGATGATTATCCGCTGTAATCGGATTTGGCGGCGCCAAGGCCAGTTGACCGAGCTCGCTGCCCTGGTGCTCCAGTGCGACCGAATTGTCTCCAGTGGCTGCCAGCCAAGCGTAACCTTTTTAGGACGATGACCTACACATCAGCTCGCATGACTTAGTAATTTTTATTATGAAAACTGTTTCGGAGGAGAAACGTTAACTGAATCTACAGAAAGTCTTTGTCTTTCTTAAAGGAGGTAATGACTAACTATAAAGACTGAGCAGTTCAAGGCTATCGTTTTCTGAGCTCGCACATATAGATCCCTGAAATCTGTGTGCTAGCCGGTGAAAAAGTGCTCATGCCATCCATTGCTAAATGGTTGCTCAAACATTTACTAGAATGACCTCGTTGTTCGTAAATGATGATGAATTGTTCCGTTATTATGACGATGATCGGATATGCTGAAGAGACTAGCGGTCACACTTATCGACACTAATCAAAGCTCGAAGGCACTGTTCATGTTTATTTACTCTTCAATTGAAAACACGGAGATTTTACGAAAAATCAACGTGTCAACTTTCTCAAAAATAATTAATGAATACTGTCACGTTAATTCATCACTCGTACGCGCTCGAATTTAACGCTCTTTCTAAAAGTTTTTTAAAGTAAAGACAGACGCATACACGCACCCGTGTATGCATATTACAAGAGAATACGTCAGTGTATTTCTTGAACGAAGATAGAAAAAATTGTGCTTATTCGAGGTAGATGCGGCGCAGTTTTGGCCCCTCTCTTCGGTCACATTCAAAGCTTAGTTGTATCCTGCTCCAACAGTGACTTTTCTGCATGCAAATGATTATGAATGCATATGTATTGTTAAATTGTTGTCGCTCTTTTTCGAGCCGACAGGATGCGCCAACTTCGTAGCCGGAGTCGTCGGTGCCTTTGTCGTCCTTGTCGTCGTCGTTTTGTCTCGTAGACGAAGTAGATATCCATGCCGTACTGCACAATATTTTCTTAACCTCAACTTCAATCTCATGTCTCATATAATTTCACGACTTGCATTTGAAATATCTTTTATCATCGATTAACTTGGACTTTTTTCACCGGACTTTGATCATTTTTCTGCGCTATCATAGTTTATCTGTAACATAAAAAGTAACATTTAACATTAGTATCAGTCAATAGGTGAATATGTCAGGTATAAATGTATTAATTTTAAACTTTGTTTATTGTCACGTAAATCTGGAAGTGTAATTTTTAACAAATAGATTATTCCTTGCTCTCTATATCGCCTTTATAGCCTAAATATAATAATCATTTCGTTAGTATTATTATTAATTTGATTACTACGACCTATATCGTGATGGACTAAAGCTAAGGGAAAGGGAAATTTTAGGCTCAAGGAGCCTAAATGAGCAAAAGCCTTTAGTCAGAGGTTTACGCAAACGTGATTAGGCAATATTATTACAAAATCTTGTGATTAGTAGACACGCTTGATTGTTCAATTTTAGTTCTCGGCGATTCCTAATACATTCTCTCGTTCCAATTAACTGCGAACTCTAAGGCCCAACAAATTCGAGGGCCGAGATAGAATTCACTGCTCACTAAAGATTGCCTAATTAACGAATCCCAAGCCGATCTCTTTCTTTCTGTCTCTTTCAGATGCAAGCCTGAATCACGGTTAGTTTGGTGGAGGCGCTATCGTAGTATCATATGTAACTTTTCTCATGCCTTTTTCCCACTTGAACGCATAGGCTCGTAAACTTGGAGTAGGAATTGAGTGTAAATAGTTCGTTTATTCCAACATTGAGAAATCCATAATTTATTCTTTTCACCCGACTGCCTTAGACGAACCCTATTTAAAAATTTTATTTGAAATATATCATGGAGCAGCGTTGCAGTAACATTATCTTTTAATTTTCTTAAATTGAATAAAACACAAGTCTGTAAACCAATTTGTAAAAGATTGCGTGAAATTAAAAAAAAATTACTTTAGCACGATCGAAGTTACGTTGACTAACGACATCTTAATTTTAAACATTACAGTAATTTCATATTTCATATTTCCATAAGATTTATGAGAAAATATAAAATTGTTACATTACCAAAAGGTAAACATTTTTCGATTCGGACTTTAATTTTCCAATGTACTCATTAAAACACATACATACTAAGTGAATGCACCATTTTTGACTGCATTATGGTTGACCTGATACATTCCCAAAAGTTGATAAAACAACTGATGATTAGTTAATGCATTACAAACCTCGATTAAAGTCTAAAACTTTAATATATAGATCTTCACACTGAACGTTTTGATACATACGAGACTAATTTGGAGTCTCCAAAAAATGATCGATCCAACGTCATATAGTTCTTATGAAAGTATAAAGCACTTGTATAAACTCACTCTGGGTATAAATACATATAGTTATTGGAAAATACAATCGATAAAAGCTATTTAGTCAATATAGCAGCGCTCGTCAGCGGAATCTACGGAACAGATGGACAGTTTGTGGTGTATAAGAATAAACTAATCAAAGAGGAGTAAATTTAACTGTCGGTAGAATGATACCAAAATGAGAAGGATGCAGATTGAGATAAAGAGAAAGTAAGAAAAGAAAGAAATAATTTCCTACTATGGCGTTTCTAAAGAGATATCGTGTAAACACATTAAAAAAGGAAGAATAAGCCCTCTATTTCTTGAATGACATAATCTAACTTCAATGCAATGACAACAGATTATATTGGGAAACACAGGTCCGTGGTTGGTCGAGTTTTTGAATATCATTTGCATAATCTCAATGAAACTTCATTATAGGTTTTTTTTATCGTAGCGCCTTTATGCGATGTGGCACGATGTACCGTTGTCGTAGGCACACGTTGAAGCTGTAAGTTATTGCTTAAGCTTAAGCAAAACTCGATAATATGATAAGCCACATAATGACATAGACTGAGTTTAAGCTCGAATTATAATTCGACAATCTGTAGATTGGTTGAGTCATTAAAAATGTATACAAACATTAATCAAAATAAGCTTCGTGTATGCATGTGTATGTCTGTGATTAAAGGCGTGCATGTGTACATATAAGTATAATTGTATCATTACGTGTGCATTCACAAATATAGTAGCCTACAAAATTATGATATTGAGCATTTCAGCAAATCATATACAAAAGCGTGAATGAATGGAATTCCTCGAATGCTTCTCGGCAAGGCAAACACTCAATAATTATGTTCCTTTGCATTTCACTAACTCGTATAAATATGCAATCCTTCCGTTTATTCTTTTAAAAATTATTCAATTATGTAAATCCACATTTCCATACTTTATACTTAGAAAACTTTAGCTATATGAAAAAGTATATTGTACATTCTCATACTTGCCATATTTCTGGAATTCCTGCGAAAATATTATTTCCATCGATTGAGAGAGAAAGAATTCATATAGATGTAAGACGCGTTTTAGTTTACACATTTTCTGATTATCAAAAAATGAATTCAATGAACTTGCAAATCTGATCTAACGCTGGTAGTGAACAATGGTAACAACAGAGATCATACGATCATTGTCTCTCGAAGAAAAAGCTGAGGCTTTAAACTGTAATTTACGTCCATACGCAATACAATTTAATTCTTATTCTTAGTGCGTAATAAAAATATAATTCGATTTGCTTATTTCGACAAAAATATAGCAAAGAAGTATCTTTCTCCAGCTAGAGTTTTCCCCCGTTTTACCATATAATTGATATTTATTATCAATATCGATTATTGTTTACAAGTCAAAGTTTGAAGACGTTAAAAGCTATGATAACTAAAAACAATTTTTTTTTGTTCATGCATTTTTTCTAAAGTAGTTGTTCAATACGACCAACCCTAAATTTGAGAATGGGAAGGGGAAAAAAGAGCTATACAAAGCGAAAAACGCTATTGTAGCTAAGAGTTAGAGAAATGAGAGGAGCTGGATAGTAAAATGGGAGTGGGCGAAGAAAACGAGAATATTCAATTTAAGCCAGCGTTGCCGCTGCCACTCTTTCAAACCACCTGTGCTCGTCTTGGTGACTTTTAAATTTTTACTTCTTCGCTGTTCGCTTTCTTTATTGTACCTTCTACTTACAGATAAATGTTTATTTGATTTTTCTGCTTAGCTCGACTGCTGCCACTGCACTGCTCTATATTTATGCTCGAGAAAGTCGAAACGAGGCAGTGAGTTAGGCGATCGAAGGATATTTACTCGCTAGTCGCTTTTCTTGCTAGACCAACTCGTTGGGGTTTTACTGCTGCGACTGTTGCCAGCTCTTGGTAATGTTCAAATTCTGCCCCCGCACAACTCCCTTACATAATTTTTTCCCTTACTTGGTACGTGCACACCTTATACCAGTTGTAGGTTCTACGTAAGCTATAATAATAATCTCGAGAAAAAATGTACGTTGAATTTAAACGAAAAATGGAGGGAGAGAAAAACAGATATAACGGTACTCGGTAAAAATCGTCAGAAGTACAATGTCACTAGAATCAACGAAAAGTCCAGGAAATTTTCTACAAACACTCGCGTACGCACGTGTACATCAAAAAAGCATCAAAATTTTAACAGAGATGAGTAGAAGGAATGAGAGACCATAGTCAAGTTGCTAGTGATATTTGTTTGTATATGAACCGCACTGCGTGTACAGAACTTCGAAGCTGAGCAATTGCTCGTAAAACTTGGACTACTAATCGCCTAGTTTTAGCCCCTGTAGGCCAAATAGTTAAAATATAGAACTAAGCTAGCTATGCAGTGCATCAGGTCCTCATCTAGAATGTTTACAGCACGAAAACTTTGGTGTCTGTATTTAAAATCGTTTCATTTGTCCGCCCAGTTTATGTAAATTATATGTATATTATATATCTATATTTATAAGAGAGAATTCCATATTAAGTTTGTCCGCAGATGCACGTGTATACATAATTTTTTCGCCTAGCCCAGAGAAATAATTTTCTATCCTCTGTTTCTCTCGGTATCTCTCTCTCTCTCTCTTACTCTATGTCGCTTTTCCTTGCACGTACAAATATAAACGCTCGAGCACTAAACTATGTACATAAATTTAAATGTTTCTCAGGTCACTTGATACGATACTAGAGCTCACTAGGAGAGAGAACTTGTGTGTAAATGTGGATGTGCGTTGGAACAGTGGGCGCGTGCGCGTGCAAGTATAGGGCTGACTCAATTGGAGCATAACTACTGAAAACACGTTTACACTTGCTCGGTGTACAATGCTTGGAATGCCTTCATATGTATCTGTGCTCAGTTATCTTTTCACATACATACACTATCGCAGCTTATATCAGAGTTTGTACAAAATATACTTTACATGACCGATGAAGAGCAATCCATCCACAATGAAATTAGACACACTCTAAGAGCCTAATAATAAGCGAGTTCTTTGTTTCTACCTATTACCAGAGAGTAGGAGGGAGAGAGAGAGATAGAAAGAAAGCAATTGGGCTTTTTAGTTCAGATCATTCGAAGGATCATTGATGGATGATTTTGCGTAGTATTGCTCGGTACAGAGATAGAGAGATATGTTTATTTCGGCCATAGGGTAAAACCCTATGTGGCCTTATTTTCATTTACAAAAACTTACATAATTAATAACAAAATATTTAGCTTGAAATAACGCGTAAGATTAAATTTAAAGACTTTGGCATATTTGGTAACACTTTTAAAAAGTGTTGCGTGCGCAGAATACATTTTTTTGTATCAAATTTTACTCTTTTAGCCTGAGCGTGTAGAAAGACAGAGAGATAAGTTGACTGCGTTCTCTTTTGGTCTCTGCATTTTTCTGTTAGTGCCCATGAATGGGTATGAATGCATCTGAAATTATCACACTAGCAGAAGTACATATGGCTAGTCATAGAGCGAAGAGAAACGAAACAACCACGCATTCCTCATGTGTACAAATATGTAAATATAAATGTATATCTTGAGCTCGTTGTATCGCACACCATTATTCATCTGTGTACACGAAACTCGAATGCAAATCAACTGTGTCCCCAGGGGATCAGGAAGAGAAGCGCGCAGCACTTTCAATAGCGCTATTGCAGTGAGTAATTAATCAGAAATCCAGCATCAAGTTGGCCTCTCTTATAGATTAGCAAGCCGAGCTGTTAACGAAAACAGAATTTGAGCTTTTTCTTCTTACTATCAACATTATTCATTCAGGACGTGCACTCGTTCGGTGAATGGCTTTTCTCGCTGCCTATTGTATCGTCATACGCGCCTACGCGTAAGGATCAGTGTGATTTTTTAATGTAGAACTTTTTTTCCAATTTCAAAGTTCTATAAACTTTTAAGCAACACCGGCAACACGAGTTGTCGAGTCACCGGGCAGTAGTACGAGCACACATAACTGCTTGTCGTCACCCGATTGACTGTTAAATGAGGAGGAACGTACGTAGGCGGCCACAAGCGCCATGTGGGATCCTATATAGAGATGCGCGTATAGGTTGAAATAGGCAGTAGCTGGAACGGCAATGTCCTTTGGCCCCCGCGCTTTTACGCCAGAACAACTCGGCTGTTGGCTGCGCTTATATACAAAGGAAGTTCGCTCGAGAACAAACAACTACTATACATTTTCTTTGCCCGAGCTATGTACTTCGAAACGAGCTATCAGCAGGCGCGTTGCTAACAGTTGCAGATGTTCCAAGTTTACTCTACGTTACGCTCACCACCGAATCCGTCTTTCATTTTTTTCTCCTCCCTTATTTTGTGGCTACTGTATCTGCATATTCTGTATCCAGTGGGATGCATCTGCGGAATGCAGTCAAGAATAACATGTGCCTGTAATGACAAGCTAAGTGTTCTCATAATATGCATGAAAATAGAGATTAGCCGAAAAATAGAGCGATCAATAATGGATGATAATTAATGAGTTGAAAGTGGAGAGCAGTCGAGATGCTCGGAAATGTTTCGACCTCGATCTTGTGTTGCTACATCGCTCTCGCATTAGACGCAGAGAATCTCCGGTCGTTAACGCAACACGTATGCTTACGGTTTGTCAGCGAGCTGCATCGAATATCGCAGTAGTAGTAGCAGTGGAAGCCACTGCTGCCGATTCGAGGAGCGTGTCTAATTCCCTTCGAAGGTGCGATACGACGATAGCCTTGCGCTACAGATGTCATATTGCGGCGCGAGCTATTGCGTTGCGCACGCTTGCACACGCACTACACTGATCGATGCCACACCTATGAATCGCCACAGTAGCCCGTGCAGATTTCACCCCGCTCCTTTGATGAATTACACGCTTACACGTGTGTACACGGGCGCGCTGCGCTATTTACGATTAGGCGCAACTGCAGCGGAGCCGCTGCGCAGCGTGAATGCGCTCGCTACAAAATGGATCTTACTCGTGAAAGCTATCAGATATTGACCGACGTTTTCACGTCATTGTCGTGCCGAGCCGAGACTGTTCCTCGCGAAACAAAGAGCCCGCGTGACTCAATGCCTTTACCGATGTGACCCGTACTTTAAACTGCATCACTACGTACGTTCTATTGCGCGCCAGCCGACCACCGACGACAATCGACGACCGACGCGCATCACCGCACTCCCGACATTTTTTACCACGTGAAGTGCCTCCTATCACCTGAAACATTAACAACTGCAGATACATATGTAAGCTGTGTGTGGTACACGCTCACCATAAGAGATGTCAGCACAATAGGTAGCAGAAGAGAGAATAAAAAGGAGGCCGCGGTAGCTGTGGGGCTTGAGCTCTTGCTTCTCAACCGAGAAGTCAGGGGTTCAAATCCCGGCGGTGGGCTGGTTTTTTCCCGAGGATTTTTTCTGCGGGGTTTGCACCGTTGGGTGTAATCCGTGGAAATTTTCCTTGGAAAAAAGCCGGTGCACTTCAACTGCGGTCTCTGGTGTTGGGGGTCACACCATTATCAAAGCGTAACCTCAGTGGTATGGGAGGCGCAACCATATCGACTATAGGTACACGCTAATACACTAACACACACACTTACATATACACGCAAGACCCACCGTTAGGTAGAACGGCGAGGTTGGCCAATTAGCCTAGTAGCAGAAAGGGCCGTAATCAACTAAAAAAAAAAAAAAAAAAAAAAAAAAAAAAAAGAGAATAAAAAAAGGAATTCTAAGAATCCCACGCGTTTATAAACTCTCATTAAAAATAGAGAAATAAAGTATAATTTAAAATTACTTCAATTCATTTATTTAATTATTAAAAGTTTTAAAATAGACAAAAAGAGTAGGTGACTGTAGTTGAAAGAGAGAGAGAGCATTAACATTTAATTGTTGATTCTCTTTTCCTAGGTTACTAACACAATGTAAATAGTAGTCTAATTTATAATAATTTAATCTAATTTAATTCATGTAAATAAACTCTTTACCTAGACGAATCAAATTGAGTTTTTGCTCGCATCCTCCTAACAACATCTTATACATATACTTGGCGTTCGGGAATAGAATTCAACGACAGAAAATAAAATAACCATATTCAGTCGTTTTTGGCACTTCAACGTGTAGGACTGACGCATCAATGTATGGGGATTGACTCCCCCTCCCATCCTTTTAAAAGCATTAAACCACTAGTGACAGAAGAGCAACTAGCATGAGTAACGCGATAAAAAGCTTAAATGCCCAAAATAAAAATTTAAATCAAGTACTATTGCCTCCATAAAAAAGAGCGCATCTCAAATCCTGAATAATGAGGCGTTACATATGTAACTGGCCCTTATAATATACCTCTTTGCTTTGCCCAATACTTCGTCTAATTTATAATTGGTAGTTTGTATCGTAAATTACTATTTAAATTGGTCGCTTTGTTCTTGTTTAATAGGAAATTTTCTCCCCTCTTCGATTCCTTATTCGCAAATTCAATATTCAAATTAAATAAACAGATACACTCGAATTTCTGAATGAATCTAATGTATACATTTGGGTAAAAATTAGATTTAACTCTATAAATCGATAGAGCGATGTTTCTGACTATCTTACATGCCTTTTTTGCCCATTCAAACTTGCCCCGAAGTGAAATTATAGAAAAAAACGTGTCATCCACTTTTGGGTACAAGAGCTGTAAGTTCTTTCGTTAAAATCGGTCACCCACAGTCAGAAAGCTTTCATCGTCACTTGTTATTTATAAAATTAGCAAATCTGATTTGAAAAATACATGAGAAGAAACGGAAAAAAATCAGTCAAATATGATACGTATTTGTGATGTATATGAGTAACTTTTCATCCAAATCTCAATCTTTCTTCGAGTATTTCGAAAGCTTGAACGTAAAGTTGGATAAAAAAGATAACGTACATTTTTGGCGAACAGCTGTATCGAAAGTTTTATTCGACAAAGTGGTGAATGAATATTTTCTAGCAACTGCAATGCAACAAAAAAAAAACGAACTGCAAGTATAAAATTCAGTAGAAACAAAAGAAAAATTGATACGCACTAGGACGCTTTTGCACGAAGAACTTTTATTTCACAGAGAGAAGAGAGAGAAAGAAAGAGTATATAGCACTCGGTGCGTTTGCTAGTACACCGCCCGTTGCTGCGCGCTTTAGCCGACGCACCAATATGCACGCGTACAGAAAACTAGACAGTTAGAAAAAAAGGAGAGGCAAAAACAAAAAGGCGAGCCACGTAGAAGAGAAAAAGAAAGAGGGAGGCTGCTAAGATACAAGACGTTCCGTGGCACTGTGGTGTGGCATCGGAACCCACTTCAATTCGCCCGACCTCTCGACTTTTCCAAGCTCTCTTTTACACGTTCCTTGTCTTTTATTTGATTTACTTTTACGCGCTGCTGCGACGCGCCGTTCCCGCCACGGTGTGCTGCTTGTAATACATAGAGACAGAATGATATGTTTCTCGAGTGACGACTAGCTCGTTCATTTTTCATCTATCTCTTGCGCGCAACGCTATCATATCGTTACTTTTATCTACCTCCTTATGTAACTTTCTTTTTATGCATTTACTTCTATTGTCTTTTGACGTATACCAACCTCTGTCATTTCTTTATTTTTTTCCTGCAAAACCACTTTGCTCTCTTCGTAATATTAAACTAGGACACATCATAAGCTCGATTCATGAAGTGTTCAATAATTTATAATTTCTTTGTAATAAGATACAATTCAAAGAAAATGGCTAATTGTTTATTACGCCGGAGATCATAGTATATTTTCTCCAATAATAAATGATGAGTTTAGAGTGTCTCTGTTGACATAAATTTTCTCAAACTTTCATTTCACGATTTGTAAATATGATTACATGTATAAGTTACCTAGTTCGATGTGTAACATCATTACAAAACAATTAGTCGTTGATCAAGTTCCGAGTGATAAACATGGACTTCAGTGATGTATATAACTCTGATGTCAGGTAATTTTTGTTTCGTGAGAATGAAATTTAAAAAAAATGGCATAATACTTTATATTATTGGGAATATTGCAGAGTGAAGGAGGAACCAAATGATGTTTCCCCAATTGAAAATGAAGATTATATGATAATTGGCAATGCACGCAATGCTAAAACCGACGAATTCTCGAGTTTTTGTCGAGAAAATTTAGTAAGTGTTGATGTGGGACTGTTTAGTCAATATTTTTATCAAGTAGTTTTACTAATTTCATTTCCAGATTCATGGGCTTCGAGAATATGATGAAAATTCGCGACCTAATAACGATTTGGAAATAGAATTCGAATGTAAGGACGAGAAGCTCGGCATTGACTTATTAGTAGTTAAGAAAATCGAAGACGATTATCCAGATCATTTGCAGTACATGAAAAATAGTTGCGATTATCAGACTCAAAAAAAAATTAAAGAAGAAATTGTTGACGAGGTAAAAGAGGAATTGAATTGGGATGGTGAACTCAGTGATGCATTTGATGCACATGAAAAACCATTTGCTCAAAATAGTCTATGTAAAACCCAAACTGATAAGGCACGCAATCGTACCAAATATCCATGTAATGTATGCGGTAAAAAATTTTCACAAAAAGGTCATCTCAAGATCCACATCGATGCAGTTCATAATGGAGTCAAACATACGTGTGTTACATGTAAAAAGACATTTGCACACAAAAATACTCTCAAAATGCACATCAATGCGATGCATAATGGTATGGCACCTACTTGCGAAAAGTGCGGAAAAAAATTTCAAACGAAGGCTAACCTCAAGATTCACATCGATTCAGTACATAATGGTGTTAGACATGCGTGTAGTATATGTGAAAAGACATACGTACGAAAAGAAGATCTCAAAGTCCACATCAATGCGATGCATAATGGTGTTAAACATGCGTGTGGTGTATGTGGAAAAACATTCACCCAAAAAGGAGATCTCAAGAGGCATATCGAGGGACATAATGGTGTTAAACATACGTGCGTTACGTGTGGAAAGACATCACACAAAAAAAAAATCTCAAAATGCACATCGATGCGATGCATAAAGGTAAGCAACCAACATGTGAAATATGCAGAAAAACCTTCTCAACTGAGACTTCACTCAAGATCCACATCGATGCAGTTCATAATGGAGTCAAACATACGTGTGTTACATGTGAAAAGACATTCACACGCAAATATACTCTAAAAATGCACATCGATGCGATGCATAAAGGTACGGTACCTACTTGCGAAGTGTGCGGAAAGAAATTCTCAACTAAGACTAAACTCAAACTCCACATGGATGCAGTGCATAATAAGATAACTCATGCATGTGATACATGTAGCAAAATATTTACGCTGAAATATAATCTTAAGAAACACATCAATGCGATGCATAAAGGTATGGCACCTACTTGCGAAGTGTGAGGAAAGACATTCTCACTAAAGGGTAATCTTAAAAAACACATGAATTTGATGCATAATAAGACCACTTATTGTAATACTTGCGGCAAGATATTTTCACAAAAAGATCGTCTTATAATTCACATTAGAACACAGCATGGAGATATTGATCACGCAAGTGTTTAATGCGGAAAAAAATTTACACATAGGAGATATCTACATATGCACGTCAAATGTATGCATGATTTCAATACCCAAGCACGAGATCAATGCAAAAGATCTTAAAACGTACCTATCAATACCGCGCAAAATGATTAAACATCGAGACAAATGAGTGGTTATAAAACTGTCATTGAGATAGCTCATCACTCACGCATTACCACCCAATAATAAATGTGTTAAATGTACATTGAAATTTTGTAAAAAACAATTACTATTATATTTTGGATCACTTCTATGTTTTCCGTCTGACTGCTTAAGAAACGATTAAGTTTTAAATAAATTAATAAACTTTTTATTACAAAAAAAAACATGATGTTTCATTTCAATCAATCTATCTATAATTTTTATCAATCTGTACAGTTTTGTTAAACATACAAATCATGAAATGAGGATTTTTGCAGAAGATGTATCTTGCATAAAATGTTAAGTTAATTATTCATAATCGCTAGTTTTTTTTAAAATAAATGAAGTATAACGCTAAGCACTTAAACACACACAGACACAGACACACACCTTATCTGTCCTGTATGAATTAATATATGTTATATACTTTACTCTGGCCTAAAAAGCAAAAAGCTGCGTCCACCCCTAGTGAGCACCGACTTATATTATGTAACGGCGTGATATTGATTATTATTAAAACATCGGCAGCGACGATCTATATGTACTATACGTCCCAAAGAGCAGGTATATACAATGTATGTATCTTTTTTGTATTTATTACACTATTTATTACACTAGTGGCAACCATAGTTACAAAATGCTGAGCGACTGAATGTTAAATAATAAAATAGCATATTATATCAGTGTAATATTTGTTTCAGCCTTATGAAATTAATAACAGTAGCTTCAATGAGTATCACAATAAATCTATATTTCAATGAGTTTTTTGTGCATGAGTTATCGCAGTTAGAGTAAAACATCAAAAATTAGCAATATCGAATGTATACGAAAATAGTTATTTATGTAACAAGTGCCCAAAAGGCGTTTTTGGGCACGGGTGTGCGCAAAAAGCTGGGCACGTGTTGCATACAAAATTTTATGCAATAGTAGGCGAAAAATACGTTCATTTAAATGAGGCGTTTTACCGCACACCCCTGTCCCAAATGAGGCATTTTACCGCACACAAGTGTCCAAAAACGCTTTTTGCGCACTAAAAAATGGGCGAAAAAAGACATTTTTCGTCATACTATTGCATAAAAAAATCACCCATAAATAACCCATATAATATATGTAAAGAAATATTATTTCTTTAAATAATTTAATCCTCGTTACAGCGAGGTGTAGAGTGGGGAGCTCTGCGTATAAATTGTAGAATACAGAGTATTGTATCATTAGTTATACGGTTGTAAGCAAGATCGGCAGTTAACTTTAAATGTCGTTTCTTGTGTTTATCTAGGTAAGAAAGTTTATATGGTAATATAATTGTAAATAGTGAATTTGTTAATAAATACTTGTGTTTATCTAGAAACCATTGAAGAATTGCCGATTTTAAGTTAATACCTTATATATATATTGCAAAATTTCCACACGAATATTGATGCAAAACTCAAAATTGCATAGAAATGCATTTTTGTGCTACCCCAACCTAAAATAACATTTTGCTCCCGCTGAGCAAAACCAAAATGTTACTTTAGGCTGGGGGATTCACAAAAAAATATACTATTTTAGCATATTAGGATACACGGATGTTGCTAAAAAAGTATACAGCACTCCGTCAACACCTTAAGAGTGCTATGTAAAATTTTCAGATCGATTGGTTTATCCTTGCATGAGTTATAGCAGTTAGAGTAAAACATCGAAAATTAGCAATATCGAATGTGTACGACTTTGCTGCGCTCAGCATCAATTAAAAAACAGAGTTTTTCTAACGAAGAGCATTACTTTCTAGTATCTTCAACGACAACTAGGTCATTTTGGAATGCAAATATTTCAATGCTTGCTTGCATGCAGCCTATTCAAGTTACACTCTAGTAAGGAGCTAAAGCGAGCTGGAAGGCTCCTTCTAGTACTCCTGAGAGAAGAAACAACACGTGACTCGAGATCTTGAATTGTGTTAAATATCAATTGTTACATTAAATTACATTAGAGAGTATTGCGATCTGCTCAAACTTTGTTCGTGCATGAAAATCATTTGATTAACTGGTGAGTGTCTTATATGGTGTCATGCTGTTTGTGATAATGGCGTCAGTGCTGTTGGTGCTAATTTATACTTACACGATGTGTTAGGGTTAAAATTAATTAATTGAGCGGTGGACTTGCAAAAACAGTAACCACAGCACCTGATTTACGCATAAATAAAGAAAAAATTTAAAAACTCTCATTTGTGCGTTCTAAACAGAAATTGGGAATTTTGAAATTCGACAAGACGAAATGATCTCTACTACTTTTTTGTTCTCGAAAATTAGACTTGCATTGATCAAAAGCCAAAGAACATTTAGGCTCATGAATAAAGCACCAATATGCTCTCAGAAAATTCTTACTGGTTTTGATTAGTGCTACGGAGCTTGGAATTATACCGAACGCCCCCATCTCGGCTATAGATGCTTATCACCATTAGCAAAATTAGTATGTTCATGAGTATACTTATGTTCATGTGAGCGGATTCATTCGCGGTCATCGCTTTATTAGCTACTCATTTTGCTCCTGTTACTCAACTTTATTCATCCTCTCACTCCTATATCTTATGACTGATATTGTCTGAATAGTATCATTTCTTTACTTTTTTTTAATGCAATTTACTCATTTAAATATCATTTAAATTACAAAATGGTTCATGTCGTTTTCATATTTTACTTTCACCTAATTCTATCTTAGATTTTTTTAACGCAGTGAAAAATGTTTGCAGTACTTTAAAACCAGTCAAAGAGAGGTAGAAGTGATAGAGAAAAGGGAACGATTTACCTAATCGTATTATACAAATTTGGAAGTTTTCAGTACTGTCGTATAGAGGCGTGGCATTGTAGTCTTCTAAGTGTGAAAATTTTTCTTACTTTCTTAAGGCACGAACGCTCAAGGGATTTAAGATCGGGGGGATTGTAATCAAATATACGAGATTCAAATGTCACTGCGCATTCGCACGCCATTTTTTTGTGACTAACATCTAATGAAATATTTCTACAGAACTGTAGTTGAGACGAATAATATCTTGCCACCTAGTATCCTTGACATTTAACTTTAATTTTTAAAAATTGCTGATTAAGATATTTATTGTAAGTTTTTCTCTTCAGTTATTGCACATTTAGTCCTCAGTAAAAATCGATTGCAATACTCCAAATTATTATTCATATTTATCGTAGCAAAACGTAACCTCAATTTATGGCATTATCTTCACAAACGCGTAGGCCTCCAAGATGTGAGCCAACAAAATGAAAGTATAAACTTGAGCCCTCGAATTTTTCAGGTGACAAATTTTCAAGAACTGCTACTGAACAAGTGCAAACACACATGTAGCACATATTTAACGTATGTATAAATGTGGCCTAGTTTCAGCAAGCAAGCGAAAAAAGAGAGACAGGTAGAAAGAGAGAGAGAGAGAGAGAGAGAGAGAGCAGCCCTAAAGGTAACGAATGGAGGGCAGAAGAGGAAAGGAAAAAGGCGAATGAATTGATTAACACGATGTCGGTCAGTGACGCTCGAACAAACTAGAGCGATAACGAATATATAGAAGCAAGCAAGAGATAGAGGTATGTATGAAGAGGAAGAGAGAAAGGGGGAGGTGCTAGTGTTGTGAACTGTAAACTCGAAAAGTCGGTGAGTAGATCTAGATGTTTAATATTGGAGAGTGCAAGGGTAGCTTCATCAGCACCACAGCTCTGCTCTGTGGGTATGGAATACTAGATTTAGCCGAGATACCAATCGAGTAATATAACCATCTAAATGCGTCGATTTTTTTGTTATTTTATTTATATTCTCATTCCATTCTTCTTGTTTATGAGCTCGTTCGCAGCCATTTCGTAAGAATTTTTAATTCTCGGTCATTACTGGTATTGATAAAATAAAATTTTATTTAGAAATGTTTGAAGTTAGTCCAGACTCTACCAACATTAAGACCACGTGAATTTTCTGCCAAACCTGAATTGGCTAATTTTTTTTTTTGTTGTATACTAGCACCATTCAGTGCTCTTCATGCACACTAAACATATCTTACTGGTACACGTTATAAAAAATTTACGAAAGGGCACCCCATGGATAGCACGCCATCTATACGAATACAACGACCAAGCACAGCGTTTTTATTTCAATGATACAATCATATCATCACTTTTTTAAGAGAGAATTTTATCGAGTCTAATTGGTCGAGTAACATAAATCTGAACCTAAAAATTTTCGACGCCTAAAAACTTTGTGGTTGAGATAAGTTAAAATTTAAAATTAAGCATTATTTGTAAAAAGCCGCAAATAAAACTTCAAAACTCTGATTAATCGGACATACTAATTTACAACTCGCGTCTGAGGTTGCATGTGCGAATGAGCTTTTTGGGAAAATTTCCAATTATATATTAATTAAGGCGAAACATAGTTCAAGCTATATGACCTACGTGCCAAGCGGTTGGCGTGCCAAAAGTGTAGAAAGGGAGACGAAAGAGAGGGTGCGCGTAGACACCAAAGCTGCTGCGCGTAACACGGTAGAGCTGCGCCAGCGAAGCTCAAATAACAGAACGAGATTTGATTGTCGGCATACGCGGATGGAGCATATCCAACCCAGCAATCGAATAATTGCGGCTGAAATAGCCTCTGCTGCAGCGCATCTCAAAGCTAGTTGCTCTATGTATGCGATCAAGCCCCCAATATTGAAAGGGACTAGCAGCAAAACTACATTCTATAATCCAACCACCAAGAGAAGGTAATATGAATATCGCCTTCTGACAGGCTTTGCCTAGCTATCGTGCCCACACGCTCACACACAAATTTATACGTTTCCTTATCAAAAGAGCGCTTAACGGTAGCAAACAAATAACCTTGGTCATTCATAAGTTGAAGAGTTGCACACACAGTAAACTTTTTTTTTAAATCTATCCAAAGTTAGTTTCGGAGTCTTCATCAAATGTGTCCATGGCTAAATTTATCAACACGTCATTCTGCTAATGTCAGCTTATTATTGGTGTGCAGTTAATTTCCCAAGTCGCATACACTTTCACTCAAAAAAGTAACATTCGTATCTCTGAAGAGTAATACGGGCAGATTTTTCTTTACAATAAAACGCAAGAATTCAAAAAAGTAATTTGTAAACATTACTCATCACAGATTACTTTTTTTTTAAATGGGCCACAGTAAAAGAGTAATTCAATTG